CCCTGCAAAACACAAACATAACATACAAAGACACCCCTGAACTCCAACTCAAACTCCAAAATTATATACAAACACTCAAACACTAATACTACACACAAACGTACATCCACATTTAAAATCCAGCACTACATCCAAACATACCACTGCACGCAAATGCAGACATTACATACACACCCCTGTATTAAAATGCTAAAATTATATACAAACACCAACTCTACACACCTTCTCCTAAGTACTACAATCTGCTTATACCCAAAACAAAAAATTGCCAGAAAAGAAAACATTATGCTCTGCTAATTAAAAGGTTTGTACAATGGCGCAATTTTTTGGGGGGGATAGGGGTGGTGAGAAGGGGATGGTTCCACGATGTTGGTGTTGGTATACTATGTTAAAGGGTTCCACACGAAAAAATAATAGTGAACCCCTGCACTAGAGAAAAGAGAATGATGAAACACAAATCTCTCTGAATAAGACTTAGACGTGTGTAGATTCCCATCTAGTGGTGAAATGTTAAACTTGAAAATGCATAAGATATGTATCTGGATAAACTGCATGCTGTATAGATAATCATTCTTCTATTTGCCTATATATTTGTTATAGATCTAGATTATGGGAGACTTGGTAATTTTAGGAAAAAGTATGGCATTTTAGAACACAGTAGTAGTAGATTTTTTTGAATAGGTTTTCGAAGTGAATGTAATGCAGTTGTATATTAGGAAATGTCTGGCAGAGCAAGATAAGGAATTCCAGTTGATATCTAGCAGTAGGGATGTGCATGGGCAAATAATTGTGTTCAGTTCGGTTCGGAAATTTGGGTAAGTAAAAAAATTTGTCTGCTTCAGCAATTCGGACCAATGGCATTTGGTTCGGCACTTCGGCAATTAGGAACTTTGGCAATTCGGTTTGGTTCAGATCTTTGGAAATTCGTCAATTCGAACTTCGGACATTCCGAACGAAACGAATTGCACATGTCTATCTAGCAGTCAAGGTTAGGAACTTTGAACTAAGTTGCGAAGATTCGTAAGGGATTACTGTGTGCGGATTAGCACTTTGGTTGTTTCTGTTGTTAAAAATGAACAGTTCTTGGAGACAGGGCTGCCATCAGGGCAATATGGTCAATGCTATGCTAAAAGTCAAGCTCTGGAGCCCTTTAACGCTATGTGCCTATTTAGCAGATAGAAATATCTTCTAAGACCAGACCAAATTTAGCAGTTGGAATTTGTCCGTTCCCTAATATGGCATCATTGCGCTGCAAGGATGTGATGTAATATACACAGACTCCACCCACTCCCAGTAGACGCCAGAGAGGTCACCCTCCTGTACACAAAATATATGCAAACAGAAAAATCCCTAAAATGGGGGGAGGAGGATGATGAAAGGTGAGCTAGAGGCCAACTTGGGAAATGACGATAGAAGTAAATTGAGTGACAATGAAAGGTGTGTGGGGTAAACTTTTCTCGCTGATTGTTAAGCACAGGGAAAGTTCAATTTTCAACTTGCTCTCTTATTTATACATGTATCAGTGAATGTGTTTGCACATATGACTAATTGTGTATCTCTTAGTGTGTACTTGTGTGTGTTATGGTGGTGCAGCCCTGGCCGCTCTGAGGTACCGCCTGGGCCACATTGCGAGGGACCATGCTCTTGGGGCCATCAGATGTCAATGTATTTCCTGGGTCACAGTCAGCGTTGAGGCGATTTAAGAGTGCTACTAGGCCCTAGTTATGGTGTCAGAGCTGGGAGGAAGCCATCACTTCCTCCCAAGCACCCGTGCGGGAGGAGAGCGCCAGGGAAGGAGAGGAGAGAGTCAGAGTGAAAACTCATCAGCCTAAGGCAGCCACTGGATCCCAGGGAAGTCACCCTCCTGCACCTAAATGGTAGGAAACAAGAGGGTGACTAAAATGTATTTACAGTTTGCATGTGTATGTGGTCTGTATCTGTGCGTATATCTGTATCTCTGTATATCTGTGCGTCTGAATGTGTATCTGTGCGTCTGTGTATCTGTATGTCTGTATGCAGGGCCGTCTTTAACGCGGGGCAAATGGGGCAGCTGCCCCGAGCCCAGTTACTCCTGGGGGCCCAAGGCAGCTGCCCCGTGGGCCCCTCTGCCCTCAAAAAAAAAAAATGTTCCCAGACGATTTAGGCGGGCCCCGCACTGTAAGGATTCCCACCGGGTGGCCCATGAACTTAGGACCACCCAGTGGGCTTGTACCAGCAGGGGCCCGGTCAGGCGCTGTGGCCCTTTAACAGCGCGACCGGGCCCCTTGCTTTTCGGCAGTGCTGGGAGGAAGTGACAGCCGAGAGTCACTTCCTCCCATAAAGAGAGCTGCTGCGTGGAGAGGGCAGAAGGAGCGGCACGGCCAGGAGGAGGAGGCAGTGAGGATGGCTCCTCACTCGGATCAGCCTCAGGCAGCACACTGGACCCCAGGGATGCCACCCTGCAGCAAAAGGTAGGAAACTTGAGGGTGGGCTTCAAAATGTAAATTTTACATGTATGTCAGTATGTCTGTCCATGTATCTGTGTGTGTGTGTGTGTGTGTGTGTGTATGTCTGTGTGTCAGTATGTCTGACAGTGTATGTATCTGTGTGTGTCAGTAAGTCTGTGTGTGTGTTTGTCAGTATGTCTAAAAGTGTATGTATCTGTGTGTGTCAGTAGGCCTGTGTGTGTCAGTATGTCTGACAGTGTATGTGCCCGTGTGTGTGTCAGTATGCCTATCAGTGTATGTGTCTGTGTGTGTCAGTATGTCTGACAGTGTATGTGCCCGTGTGTGTGTCAGTATGCCTATCAGTGTATGTGTCTGTGTGTGTCAGTATGTCTGCCAGTGTATGTGCCTGTGTGTCAGTATGTCTACCAGTGTGTCTGTCTGTGTGTGTGTGTGTGTGTGTGTGTGTATGTACCTGGTGTGTGTATGTGTGTGTCAGGCATATACACTGATATACATACTGACACAGGCACATATACAGACATACGGACACACACACAGGCACACTGATAGACATACTGACACACACAGGCACATACAATGACAAACATACTGACACACAGATACATACACTGACAGACATTCTGACACACACACACACACAGGCACATACACTGATAGACATACTGACACCCACACAGGCACATATACAGACATACTGACACACACACAGGCACATACACTGATAGATATAATGAAACACACACACACAGGCACATATACAGACGCACACACACACACACAGCCACATACGCTGATATACATACTGTGTGTGTGTGTCAGTATGTCTGTATATGTGCCTGTTTGTGTGTGTCAGTATGTCTATCAGTGTTTGTACCTGTGTGTGTGTCAGTATATGTATCTGTATGTCAGTATGTTTGTCATTGTATGTGCCTGTGTGATAGTATGTATCAGTGTATGTCTCGGTATATCTATCATTGTATGTATTTTTGTGTGTCAGTATGTCTCAGTTTATCTGTCTGTGTATCTGTGTGTGTCTGTGTGTGTATCTGTGTGCGTATCTGTATGTAGTCAGTGTGTGTATCTGCATGTGTGTCAGCGTGTGTACCTGTGTGTCTGAGCATCTGACGACCAACATTAAATACAAATACACCCCTCCATTCAAACTTCAACATTACATACAAACACAGTCCTGCTTTGAAATGTCAACACTTCATACAAACACACCTCTGTGTTAAACACTAAAATTATTTATAAACACACCCCTACATTCAAAAACCAGCACTACACTTAAATGCACGCTTGCATTCAAATAACACATCCAAACACATTCACACGAACATACTCCATACAAAAACATGCTTACATTCAAACACAAAAAACACAGTGCTAAATACAACCCTGCAAGCATGGGAAATTGGTACAGCCCCAGCTGTCAAAGCATTGTTGGAGTTGCATAACAGATAGGGTTCTACCTTCTTTCCAACCTTGTGATTGGGGGCCCAATGAAATTCTTGAACCAGGGCTCTTTCTACTTTAGTTCCACCACTGCGTTGGGGTAGAAGGTGTGATTGCATGCCAGGGAGTGGGTCCAGGGGGCCCAAGCAAATGCTTGCCCAGGCCCCAATCAATATTAAAGACGGCCCTGTCTGTATGTGTATCTGTTTCTCTGCACGTGTGTCTATATGTGTATCTATTTGCATGTGTATCAGCATATGTCAGTGTGTACCTCCAGGGCTTGACTAAGAACTAAAAGCAGCCCTGGAAAAAAATAATTTACCAGCCCAATGATGTGTTGCGCCAGCATAGTGTGCTAATATAGAGTTAGAAAAGATAACTTAAAATTTAAAATTACTACTCCAACGTGAAAAAAAGCACTCATAGGCTTCAAAATAAACAAAAGTGCAGATTTATTTTAAGCAGACGTGCCTTTGCATGTAATCAATGTTTCAGTCCATTATGTGTGTCCCCTATGTGTATCTCTTTCTAACTCTAGCCCCTCTGTGTTCCTCTTTGTCTCGGCCCAGTCCCTCTGTATGTTTCTTTCTCCCCCTCACTGCTCCTCTGTGTCCATGTCTCCCCTCTCCTTCCCAGTCTCTCTCTTCCCCCTCTGTCTCTTTTTCCCCTCGCCCAGTGTCTCTCTCTTCCCCCTGTTTCTTTCTCCCCCCTCCCTGCGTGTCTCTCTCCCCCTTCCACTGTGTGTCTCTCTCTCTTTTTTCCCCCTTCCCTTTATGTGTCTCTTCCTCTGTGTCTCTCTAATCCCCTCTGTCTCTTTCTCCCCCCTTTTCTTGTGTCTCTCTCCCCCACATCTCTCTTCCCCTGTGTCTTATTCTTCCCCCTCCACCATCTCTCTATTCCCCCTCTTTCATCTTTCACTCTTCCCCTTTGTCTCTTTCTCCCTCCTTTCCCTGTGTAACTCTCTCTCCCCCATCTGTCTCCTTCCTTCCCCTCCCCTTGTGTCTCTCTCTATTCTCCCATTGTCTCTTTCTTCCCTCTTCCCCTGTGTCTCTCTATTCCCCCTCTCTGTCTCTTTCTCCCCCCTCCCCTTGTGTCTCTCTATTCACTTTTTGTCTCTTTCTTCTCCCTCCCATTTACCAAAAGAAGTCAGTTCCACCGGACCACTGGTTCCGCCGGGCTGGGTGGCCGCCTAGCCAGTCCAGCGGCACACTCACTAATGCTGACAGCAGTGAGCTGTCAGCATAGGAGGACTGAAGGAGGGAGCCACATCATACTGTGCTGGGAATTGTGGGAACCGCACCGCCGCATTCATTATGGACTGTAACGGCGCAAGTTGGGAGCACGTAAGACCACTGAGAAGCGTATAACAGTAGTCAAGGCGAGAAAGGACAGTGGAATGGACCAGCACCTTAGTCGCATCTGACGTTAAGTAGGGTCGGATGCGCGCAATGTTTTTGAGATGGAAGCGGCAGGATTTGGAGATAGACTGAACATGAGGCGTGAAGGAAAGTCAAAGAGAAATCCTTGGCAGCGAGCCTGCCTGGTGGAGCTGATGGTAGCACCGTTGACTTGGAGGGAGACAGACACAGGAGTAGCAACACTTGAGGGAGAAAGGACAGAATTTCAGTTTTGGTCAAGTTGAGTTTAAGGAAGTGGGCAGCCATCCAGTTAGAAATAGCAGAGAGGCAGTCAGAGACACTAGTCAAGAGGGACGGGGAGAGATCAGGAGAGGACAGATAGATGCGTGTCATCCGCATAGAAATGATTATGGAAGCCAAAGGAGCTAATGAGTTTACCAAGGGAGGCAGTATAGATAGGGAACAGTAGAGGACCAAGGACTGAACCTTGGGGGACACCAACAGAGAGGAGTTGGGAAGAAGAAGCAGAGCCATAAAAATAAACACTGAAGAAGTGCTAAGAGAGGTAGGAAGAACACCAGGAGAGAGCAATATCTTGTAGATTGATATTGCGAAGGATAAGAAGAAGCTGTTGATGATCAACCGTGTCAAAAGCTGCAGAAAGGTCAAGGAGAATTAGGATAGAGTAGTGACCACAATATTTTGCAGCGTGTGGTTCATTGGATACTTTGGTCACAGTTGTTTCAACAGAGTGACGAGCGCGGAATCCAGGCTGAAGCGGGTCTAGCAGAGAGTTGGACTCGAGGAAGTCTGTCAATCTCGCGAGGGTGAAGGGCCCTGGATTGGGAGAGACATCAGACATCTGCTAGAAGCAGGAGGAGACAAAGTGACAGGTGGTGTGAATGGGTTTTGTATGCATGGGGTCTAGGATGAGATCGATTGTGGGTAGGAGTGAGATATATATATAGGGATGCACCTAAGATACCACAGACAAATGGGGGGGGGACACTAATAACTTCCACCACTAATTTATACAACTATAAAAATGAAATTTGTGTGTGTGTGTAAGTGGTGACAATGTGTTTGTAGGGAGTGTGTGTAGGGGGTGACAGTGTGTGTCTAAGGGCTGACAATATGTGTGTAGGGGGTTGACAGTGTGTATGTAGGGGGTTGACAGTGTGTGTGTGTGACAGTGAATAGGGAGGTGACAGTGTGTGTAGGGGGTGACAGTGTATTTGTGTGTGTGGGGTAACTGTCTGTGTGTGGGGGGGGGAGGATGATACTGTGTGGAATGACAGGTGGGAGGAGGGTGACACTACAGTGTTTAGGGAGGCTGTTTCGGTGTATCTTTGCCCCCAGTGCTTCTCGATTCCTCTTTGTCCCGAGAAGTCGAACGGGCAGGGGTACAAGTTTCAACGGGCTTCATGGGCCGACTCAGAGATCCATGCGGTCGATGACCATGTACCGATGCGTTCGGGGAATGCTTGTTTGAGGTTAACAGCCAGGGGAGGTCGGTGATTACGAGTTGATAACAAGGGGGACCACACAGTCAGTTCGGTAACCGAACAGAAGGGGAACAATCCCATTTGAAAGTCGTACCCCCGACTTATCCACGAGTCATAGCATATTTCACAATTGTTGGTCACAAAACTGCACCCGACTTATACACGATATCAACTTATAGACGAGTATATAGGGTACTTCCTCTAACACCACTTCCTTTCCTGTTCTATGCAAATTCACACCCGCTACAGCGGAAGAGGTTTCAGCTCTGCCCCGGTCCTCCCATCTCACCACCTGTTCCCTGGATCCTGTTCCCTTGCATCTCATCCGTACTCAGTCTCCTTCTCTTGCTCTGTCTCTCACTAAAATTTTCAATCTCTCCCTATGCCTCTGGCATATTTCATTCACCCTTCACACATGCAACCATAACTAAGATTCTAAAAAAGTCCAAGCTTTACCCTGTTACAGTTGCCTCCAGTCTGGCTGGAAGTTGGACCGTAGAAAGGATGCTCCTAGCGCTCACCAAAGGACCATCAGCACCGTAGACACCATAACTACTGTGTAGCCACCATAAGTACTGCAGACTCCACGAACCACCGCTGCTGGGCTGGTATCTCGCCGTCTGCTCTGTGCCCTGGACCCACGACCAGGCTCCAGGTTCCAGTAGGTGAACCTCTTCCTTCTGTAGAGTGAAGCAGGAACAGGAACAAGAGCTCTTACAAGAGCTCAGTAGTTAAGGGAGTATGAAGAGCATAGCAATCCCTGTAGTGATTATAGCTGTCCCCTACAAACATGAGTCAAGGCTGCAAGTTAGAGGGTCAAGTCATTCTGTTTATTGGTACACAAAGAACCTTCTTTTATGTAGGTTTCCCTGAGATAGGACCACCCACAGGGTTTTACACAACAACCAATAATAAACGTACATTACAGAAACACTCCCAGCAATTACACACAAAAATCCTCCCCTCTGCCTGTGATCTAATTATGGTACACAATGGGTTAACATAATTAAACACAGGCAGTAAAAATACAGTTTTTACCCATACCCTGTAACTTTAAAACTACACATCCAATCTTCATAACAATTACATATTTATAATCAATCCATTCAGGGGAGCAACATATTAAAAAATGGCACAAATCAGACAAGGGGTTCAAAAGTTAGCAAAAGTATATTTTGGGGCCTGGCTGGCAGCATGGTTATCTGGCCCAAACCGGTTTTACAGAGCCCTCTAGCCTGGAGACAATGGGGAAAATAATCCACTTATATCCAGGGATAGAGGCAGACTCCATTAACCACATGTTAGCAAAAGACACAAAAAGACACAAAAATACATAACTCCTATTGAACTGAACAGAACCCCCACATTCAACCTATCCCCAGATGGCTTGGATCTGAGCGCTCAATATATCCAAACAGCGCTCAGATCCCACAAATACAGTCAAATCGCCATACCCACTAGGTCCATAGTCATGGGGCAGAAGGCTGGCAATTAGGCTTCTCCATAACACAGGGAAGCAGGGCAATTTGTCAAATAAAATAACAGTTACAAATGGCAGTCTGTAACATACCCTAATTTCCCATCCAAATACCACTCTGTCTCGCTACTGCATCCAAGATCCTTGAGAAAGCTGTGCATGCGAGATTGGCAGACTTCCTTGAATCCAACTATTTGCTTGACCTCAACTCTTTGCTCTGACCAAATTGTCCCATGATCTAATCATTGCAAAACCTTGTGGTCACTATTCTATCCTAATACTCATTGACCTTTCTGCTTCTTTTGACACTTGATCATCAACAGCTTCTTCTCATATACACAAATCTTACTCTCTCCTAGTGCTCCTCCTACCTCTCCCAGTGCTCTTTCAGTGTTTCTTTCTCTGGCTCTGCCTCTCCTCCCTAACCTCTCTTCCCCAACAACACTCCTTTGGCTTCCAATATCATTTCAATGCTGATGACACGCAAACCTATTTGTCCTCTCTGCATCCCTCTTGACTTGTGTCTCTGATGGCCTCTCTGCTATTTCTAACTGGATGACTGCTCACTTTTTTAAACCTAACCTTTCCAAAACAGACCTTCTAGTCTTTCCTCCCTCATGTGTTGCTAGTCCCGTGCCAGTCTCCCTTTACATTAACGGCGTTACCATCAGCTCTACCTCGCAGGCTCGCTGCCTAGGTGCTCTTTTTGACTCCTTCATCCCTCATGTCCAGTCGATCGCCAAATCCTGCCACTTCCATCTCAAAAACATTGCGTGCATCTGCCCCTACTTAACACCAGACGCAGCTAAGGTGCTTTGAATGGTATATGTGGAACTGTTATGGACAGATGAATTAAAATAAAATGGCTATTTACTAATGTCTATTTATTCTGTGTACACTATGTTAAAACTGGCTGCTAGAGTAAATATTCCCTTCCCCCCCCTACAATGTGTTCAGTTGCTGTGTCCTCTGTAAATTCCTCTGTATCCTGCTAAGCATCCCCCTTCCCGTCAGAGCAAACCTTGTGTAACCAAAATTCCTGTGTTAACAGCTTCCTTTACTAACTCCTCCCCCACTTCCTTTGTGCCAGTTAACAGCTATATGCCACGCGCAACAAAATGGAGAATCACTGTTAAAGTAACTGAAAGAAACTACTCACTCCCCCTCCCATCGTGTATCCAGGATGGGGCTGGAATATAGGCGGGAAAAGTCTTTAATGATGACACTACATCCTGTAGGGGGGGGGGGGTTTAGACGGGACCCCTTAGATTGTTAACCAATTGTTGAATGTATACTGTATGTTTAAACTGTGACGTATTTTTTGCTTTAAGAAGGAGCCCCCACTCCGGGGAATAAAGCATTCCTGGGTTTTTCACTGATCAGAAACTTTGTCTCCGGTGTGAATTAATTCTAGGGAAAGCGTGCACGCATTAATCAATCAATTTGGAAGGTGTAGATAGACAAATTATCAAAGTTTTCTTTGATCCAAAACAGAACTGCAATCACTCCCACAAATCTGAGCCAGGGTGCTTGCTGAGCCGGAATCAAACACCAGATTTCCAAACATTAGTAAAGTAATAGAGGTCCAGGCATTCCTTGGTTCAAGACAGGCACTTTATTAGGAACCACAACAGCAATGTTTCGACCCCAAAAAACATTGACAAAGACCCTTTGGGGTCGAAACGTTGCTGTTGTGGTTCCTTCCTAATAAAGTGCCTGTCTGGAACCAAGGAGTGCCTGGCAGCTAAGGTGCTGTCCATGCCGCTATTCTCTTTGAATCCACTTCTCAGTGGTCTTAAGTGCTCCCAAATTGCCCCATTACAGTCTGAAATGAATGCGGCGGCGAGGCTCATATTCCTGTATACCTGCACCTACCACGCCAACCCCCTCTGTCAATCCCTGCATTGGTTTCCTGTAGGATATAGGGCTCAATTTAAAATTCTGGTTCTTGCTTACAATTCTCTACATACATCTGCTCTTACCTCCCTATCCTCATTGATACACAGTCTCCATTCCTTCAAAAATCATTAAAAATGCTCCTCTTCAGGACAGTATATCAATTAAACTGTTAATAGCTTCCCATCCCCCCGCCGCACTAAGTCTTCAGTGAGTACTATTCTAGCAATCCAGCACATTGTACAGTGCTGTGGATTTTGTTGGCGCTTTATAAATAATAATAATGAGGAGATGCTGATTGGCGCAGCGTGGCGTTTTGCCTGCCATGGGTGATAGCCTTCCAATGCTTTCTGGGTCGTTCTGGGAAATTTTATGTAGCTTCACAACTTATTTTTTATTTTTTAAGTAGCTAAATTGTAATTCAGAACAAGAACCCTGTATTTTATTTACAGAGACCGATTTCTATGCATGTTTATTGTAATAGAAAGATAAATGACTGGGTTTCATTGCTGAGGAGCGCTGTTGCAGACACAGCATTAATACTGAGCTCATATAAAAAGGGGGACATTAACATAGCAGAGAGGGACAGACGGATTTGTGCCCAAGATAGGGACTGTCCCCATACATCCCAGGTGTCCCTATTTAAAAGGGACAGTCCCTATTTTGGGCCCAAAGCTCTCTAAACTGACATCCAGGCGGGGCAGGGGGCGGTACTAACTGAAAGGGCAGTGGGCGTGGCTTGAAATGCTCCGTTCAGCCAATCAGGAGCTGCGTTTTCCCTGGAACGTGTTGGCAACAAAGTTGTGTCTCGCGACTGTTTATAGCCAGCTGTGCAGATCCTGGCTGTCAGTGAGAGCACGGCGTGCGGACCGCTAACACGGGCTGTCTCTCAGGGCCGCTAGCGCGGGCTCGCTAACGCGGGCTGTCTCTCAGGGCTGTCTCTCGGGGCCGCTAACGCGGGCTGTCTCTCGGGGCCGATAACGCGGGCTGTCTCTCAGGGCCGCTAACGCGGGCTGTCTCTCGGGGCCGCTAACGCGGGCTGTCTCTCGGGGCTGTTTCTCGGGGCCGGTAACGCGGGCTGTCTCTCGGGGCCGCTAACGCGGGCTGTCTCTCGGGGCTGTCATGGCTGTGGGGGAGTTCCTGGTGCCCGCTGGCATGTCCTGGTGGGCTTTGTCGCTCTATACGTTGCTGTTCCTGGTGCTGTGCTGGCTGATGAGCTCTCTGTGGACCTATTATCGGCTCCTGTCTCTGAACACCCCTCCTGGGCCCACCCCACTGCCCATCATTGGGAACTTCGCTTTCATGTTGCTGCCAGAGTGGCTGCTCTCTGTCCTAGACCTTGGGCTAGAGATTGACCGGTCCAGAATGGTCCCAGCTGGGGGTAAAAGAGGGGCAGCCTTCCGGTACCCTCACATTATCCTGACTAACATGGCCAAGACATATGGCAACGTGTACAGCCTGTATATAGGAAACCAGCTCCTGGTCATTCTCAATGACTTTGACACCGTGAAGGATGCCATGGTCAACCACTCTGAGGTCTTCTCCGATCGCCCCAGTGTTCCCATGGTGAACATCATTACCAAGAGGAAAGGTAGGGACTGGATGCCATTTCAATTCATGGTAGAGGAAGCCTTGATAATGGTGTGTGTGTGTGTGTGTGTGTTGTTTTTTTGTTGTTAGAGTATTACTATCCTGTGTGAAGCGAGCGATCCCTCAATGGGACATATGATAGCTTGGTTGGGGAAATTTACTTACCTGAACTTGTTTTCCTGTTAAGTTTGCCAAATATCAGGTCTGACATGAGGGAAAAAGTAGTCCTCTTGTCGTCCGTAAATAGTCAGAACCTTTTAGAATGTTTCAATATAAAAACATCCTCTTTATGAAAGCGTCAGAAGTGACTGCCGCTTTAAGCCAGGGTTTGTTAAATTAGAACTCAAAATTGGGTCCCTATGATGTTTTAAGTAGGTCCTTTTTTTTAACAGTTGGAATAGAAACATCCCATTCAATAGGTTCCAGGCAACGCACCACAATACGCTGGCAGTACTGTGAGATTAAGTGTTTTGGGTGACTATAGTGTTCCTTCAAAGAACTAAATCGGAATAAAGTTGCTATGGTTCCAGGATGTAAGTGGTGCCAGCTTGCCTTTAGGGGTTAAATCATTCACGATCTACGATCAGTAGTTCCCCATTCGAAAAACGGCTTTAGAAAAATATGTTTCTCAAGTCATTTTGTGAATGGGGAACTACTGATTAGCAATTCAGCAGTACGGCTATGTGAGGCTCTCCATCTTGCTAATAAAGTCCACCGTTATTTCTCTCTTAGATACTGACTCTTATATTTGCTTAAGTTGTTGACAGGACAGTATTGGACCAAAGTAAGCTGATAAAATGAGCTTGTAAAAAGTGGGTATTGGCATTCATGAATGCTTGGTAGGGAGACTAACAAAATGAAGAGAAGAGTGGTATGATAAAAAGGGAAGGGAAACTATATGAACTGCCATAGGCAAGGAGAGTGTTTGTATAAAGGAAGGGGATGGTGTTAAGAGTAAGGAAAACTAGCATGTTGGAGGACAGTATTTTGATGTACTGGCATTTTAGGAAGGATGATTCAGGTGGGGATGTAGGTTTCCATGGAGAACTGGGGTTAAAGGGTTACTTCAAAAACAATGACCACGTCTGGTTTTGAAGTGGTTATGGTGGTTGACGTCTGGATGAGTAATATTTAAGCATGAACACTACACATCTAGAGTTATTGGCATTTGTGCATATTTTTAAATCTGATGTCAGCACGCTGGCAATAGAGGTAATCTGCTTCTCATGTCTATCTCCCCCCCCTACTTGTTTGCAGCCATTTGGCTTCCCTATTTCATTAGGGGTTTCTTTTTGGGGGTTTTTTCACCGCTCTTTCATCTTCTCTTGCCAGCTCAGAGCACATGGATGGGCTCTAAGCCCATTAAATGGTCCAACCAAAAGCCTTTTGATTGGACCTTGTGCTGCTCCTGTGACAAACAGGTAGTGGGCCGATCAACTCCGGAAGCTTCACCTGGCGCTGGATTAAAGTAAGTAAAACCTTCTTTTTAAATGGTTTTTGAGAGTTTATTTTGGGGCGGACTTAAAGAATAATGCCAATACGATTCTAGCAAAATAGGGTTGGAGAATCCCTGTAAAGAGCAGTCTATTCTATACACAACCTAATATTACCTACTAATACCGTGTTTCCTCGAAAATAACACATACCCCGAAAAAAAAGGCCTAGCTTATTTTCGGGGGATGCTCCTAATATAAGCTCTACCCTGAAAGAGACGGTATGTCAAGTATAATCAGTTGAAATGGTGGTGAAGTAAGTACACTCACATTTGAAGGAGCCTGTGTGTGAAAACTGGCTCCGTAATCAAGTTTTTAAGGCAGCATCACACCTTCAATCCACGGTATCTCAAAGAAAAAAAAAAATGGAGAGAAGAGAACCAATGTGCAGTCTCTTTAGAAAGATGGGAAAGGTGGAATAAGTAAAATGCTCACCTTTTTCAAAGCACTGTAATCCTGGCTCTGAGGTATAATAGTTTTGTGTCAATATTTATGGGGATGGCACTACCTCTATGTAGATTCGATAGGCTTCAGGGATCTTCTTAAAAATAATTTTACATGTATTGGTACAATGTAAACATATAACATGTAATATAAAATAAAAGATTTCTGAATATGCCAAAACGCGTTTTTACTCTTGAAGAGCTTCCTCAGAGGAAGCTCTTCAAGAGTAAAAACGCGTTTCAGCATTTTCAGGAATCTCTTTTTATATTTTTTTTTATATAACATGTTATATGTTTACATTGTACCAATAAATGTAAAACAAAAAAATTTAAGCAGTCCCCTGGAGCTTATCGAATCTATATAGAGATAGTGCCATGAAATAGCTTAGATCAGCTGACCTTTATCTGCTTAAAGGAACCCCCCCCCGCAGCAAATACCGGGTTACAAGACCAGACCACTTAATTCGATTAAGTGGTCTGGTCCATAAAGTGTCCCCTTAAACTATTTGTGATTAGAAGAGATTGGTAAAACCCATTATATGTGGGGAAAACTATCCTGTAATTGCGTGTAGTTTAAATGTTTAGTAAATTATAACTGTGCAAAAGTTGGTGAATAATAGTATAGTGAGTATTGCATTTGACTTTCTTGGAAAAACGACAGGTAAATTACACAAGTCTTCTAAAACAAACAATTTTCTGGACTTTCTGCATAACATTTTTAACACTGTTATGAATCAAGGGTCATGATAACATTTTTGCTACTTGTCAAAGCACAGGGCTTACAGGTCCCTCCCCCAACTAATGACCTTCTGTTCACAAAGTGTATCATTGCAAAGTGATCACTATAACTGAGAAAATGAGAGGTTTTGACTTTACACGAAATTTGATCGTCTTCTATGTTCTATGTATTGCTGTTTCTATTCGGGATTGGATACTATTCCATTTATCTTTAGAATGGCTGAACAGTTTCTGTTACTGCTAACCCTGCACGCAATTCACATTTTAATGAATTTCACTGGCATGAAATACAACTTCATCTTTACATCATGCTAGCAAAATCTGTAGTTAAAATTATTCAACTCTACACTAGTTTGACTAACAGTCGTTAGCAGCAATCCAAACATGAATTCACATGCTGTTTACTAAATTTTTGTCCCAACATGTGGGTATTAAAGGAAGACCGTAACCGCGAGAGCTAACGGTTTTCAAATGGTTTGACTTCTTACCTGCGTTATGCCTGACCATGCTCCCTGTCTCCACTAATAATCCTGCAGATGTATGTTCCTAAGAACTAGCTTCTGTTCACTCTCGTTGGCTAAGCCAAGCACTTCTAGGTCATTGGCTGACATCATCCAATGCTTAGGAACTTCCAATGCATGTTAAAAAGGGAGGCGAGGGTGGCGCACAATGGATCCCATGTAAGAAGCAAAATTGAACCTGAAACAGACCGGTTCTCCCTGTGTGCCATTTTGATTGGTGCTGGTCTTTGGCAGTTGCCCAGCATAGATTACAGTGTATTCAGCATGATAGAGGATCGTCAGTCAAGCTGAAAACAGACAGTAGATGATGGCAAAATACCGCGCTCTAATGTTTTTGCTTAGAATTTCCTTTCTTAATCTTACTACTGATATTAGCAAAGGGAACCCCTTTGGATTATAATATAAGGATTAGCTGCAGGATTGGCATTATTTGTATGATTAGGATTATGGCCAGCAACGGAATCGTCTTGATTGCAAGTCCCTACAGGAATAGCAGGACCTTTTTCGGGTAGATTGAGTTGATAATACAGTGGTTGCTGCCTAATTGCAGGGCCGTTGCAAGGATTTTTGGCTACACAGGCAAAGATGCATTTTGCTGTCTCTTTCCCCCCACTATTAAAAAATAAATAAATAAATTCTCCCTGTTTAGTGTACTTTATCACCTTTTATTATGTTTTACACCCTCTTGTTTGTCTCTTACAACTCTCCCCCCCCCTTGTGTATCTTTCTTTCCCCAAACAAATACAGACACACAGCCAATGTCATGCATACACACTTTCAGACACTGTCATACAGACACAGACATACAAAGACATTCATACAGAGCAGGGGCAGGTTAAGAGCCTAATATCAGGAATGGCATTGGTAGTGGGTTGTAGTGGCTGTAATTGAAAAGTTAGAGGATGTAGTAGGGGGCATGGGGCTGTACTGGGGGGATAGTGGCTGAAGTAGGTTGGTGGCTACAATTTTGGAAAGGAGCTGTGGTGTGGGTGATATGGGTTGCAATTGGGAGAGTGGGGCTGTGGTGGTGAGGGGCTTGGGGATAAGGGGACAGTGGTGGTGGGGGGCATAAGTGGACAGGGGCTGTGGTGGGGCTGCTTAAACAGGTAGATAATTTAATAAAAACAGCCCACCCCCCTCCCTGAGGCTTACCTTAGGCCAGGGAGGGGCGGCACAGAGTCTGGAGCCAGAACAGAGCAGCCAGGGAAGTCGGCCAGCCTCTTCTGATGATGTCAGGAGGAGGAGGAGGCATGACTTCCCCTGCTCTTCTACCAAACTCCCCAGCTGTCCTGGGAGAAGAGCAGTGGATGTCACTCCCCCTCCTGAAATCATCAGGAGAGGCCAGCCGACTTCCCTGGCTGCTCTGTTCTCGCTGGCTGCAGGGAGACAGGTATTTTGAAAAATCTGAGTCTCCAGCCAGAGGCAGGGGATTCTGATTTTTGCGCCCCCTTGCTCTGGCACTCTAAGGTAGCCACTTGTGCTGGCCCTGCCTGATTGATGAAGGGTGGAGTGGACTCTTAACCCCAAAGGTGTTACAGAGCAGAAGTCATGGCATCCCTAGGGCTTCAATCATTTTGTCTCATTCTCCACTGACCACAATCCAGAATGCTGGAAAGGTACAAGAGAAATAGGCACGTTACATCACATTTGGTGGTCTTATCATTCAACCATTCTGTAAAGACCTTCATGCAGTGATAATCACAATTAAACATAAAGATTGTGTTCACCCCATCGTTCTGTCTCTTACACTCCCTCCCTCTTTCAATTTCTGCATACCGAATGTTGGTGCTTCCACACTGAATCAACTCACCTCAAAGCCTCATTCCCCTGTTCTGGAAGCGACAAGCAATGCGCAAGATCAGCTTGCACTCAGAGAATCTAAGACTGTTCCAAACCATGGAGGAATTAATATTGTTGGCTGTGGACAAATGCTAAAATAACACTCTGTTCCACTGGACGTAGTGGCTGACCTCCAGGTGTGTGGGTGTCAGCCCATTACTCTGAAAGGTGCCGTTGGACACATTCCCACATGTCTACAACATGTATAGATTCATAACTGTGGTGGTGGGGGAGGAGATGTATACATGTTGTTTTTGTTTTTTCTCATCCACTCTGCTTCCCTCCTTCCCTTCACTCTTTTCCATTTCTGCTCACTTACCATATCTAAATCCATCCCCTAAAATGTCCATATAAACAGATTATGTTCAGATTTTTCTTTTCTTCTTAACATCATTTTATTTATGTGACTGATCTGTACACCCTGTTCCAACATCAATGGGGGGTGGGGATGGGGAAACTCATATCTACCTTTTTTAGATGCACCTTGGGTCAGCCAGTGTTTGAAAACAGACAGCCTCTGTGGTCTTCCCTACTTTTTTCTTTTTTTTTTTTTTTCTTTTTTTTGCAGGGAGTCAATAGAGAAGACCAGAAAGACTGTTTTGGTTTTTAAACACTGGGTTTTTATTTCCTTTGCTGTGTGTGTGTGTGTGTGTGTGTGTGTGTGTGTGTCAACCCATCACGCGCCCTTACTAGACTCTCCGCTCTTATCACTACAAGGGCACCCGCTCACCAAGGCTAAATTCACGGCACATGTCAGAACACTACTATCCAAACTTGGTTACAATCCGGCTTCATTCTCCGGGCACTCATTCCGCATAGGAGCCGCTTCATCAGCCTCTAGCACAAACACCCCGGTCCACATCATCAAGAGACTGGGTCGTTGGAAATCCTCCATATACCACGACTTCGTCAAGCTTTCAGGAACTTGGTTATGTAAAAAAGGCAATAAAGTGTGTATTTTCCTCAAACTTCTCTTTTTGCCCTCTTTTATTTACAGGCCCACTTGTACGTTGGTTTCGGCACATCAAAACCAACTTTGCCCTTTCAGATACTATCCACTGCGTATTAAATTCCGAGTATGTATATGTGTGTGTATGTATGTATGTATGTATGTGTATATATATATATATATATATATATATATATATATATATATATATATATATATATATATATATATATATATATATATATATATATATATATATGAAATATTCAAGTACTTGCACTCCTGTGATAATATATTAATGACTGGTGCTAATAAAGCAAATAACATAAAAAATAAAATAGTAGGTAATAGCACTCTAAGGACTTCAAAAGGTATATAGTGGGAAAAAAAACTTAGCTTTTATTCAGCAGCTGCCACACAAAATCGACGTTTCAGTTCTTAATACAGAACTTTCATCAGGATCAGGATATATATAATTTTTTCTTTTTTTTTTTTTTTTCTTTAACAACTTGAGGAAAGTTTGGAAGCAGTGTTGCGCCAATCAGCCTCCCCATGCAGAGCGTGGAGACTCTGAACGACTAGAAAACACCTCTACCACTTGAGGTGTTTATAGGCAGCAATATTTACATTGAAAAGCCTATAGGAACAGGTTGTAGACAACAGAACACATTAAGCTTTAGCGATTTATGGTGACTACAGTGTCCCTTTTTAATATGTGTTACTTGTGTAGTTGGAAATAAAGATTTGTTAGTTTATAAAAACAAAAACTGGCTCCTAACTTGTTTAGCTGCCTCCTAGGGTCAAAGCAAATTTGTCGAGACCTGGTCTAATAACCTAGTCAGCCACAATGTAGTGTGTATAAAATTAAAAAGACAAATTACTGTTCTATAAAGTACCCGGGTAACTGATTTTAGTTTTCAGAGATCTTAGTGTTACTTATCAAACAGATTAGATAATACAGATACTAGGCATCATAATATATTTGTTTTTCAAGCACTGTGTCCTTGAGAAGTGAACTTCCTCCTCTGAGATTGCTAGGAATGAGCATGTGGTCACAGCAGTAGAGCAATATGGTGATCAATGATCCTGTGCAATCTGCAATGATTTAATCTATAGAACCAATTATGCTTTTGAGATAAAAACTATTATAATTTATCAGTGTAAGATTAAAAATAAATATTGTTGTGTAGCAATGACTGTGTACTGAAACTTTGGACTGTCGGGTTGATGTCAAATTCTCGTACAATTCTGATTCCTACAAAAAGTAATTACCCAAAGCCAGCACTTCAGTCATGGCTCAGAAACAAGGATGTAGTGTTTGGAGTCTCTGTCCTAGTCTCACTAGTTGGTATAGAGAAAATAAATGAACTTTGCAACACCAAGAATTCACTTACTGCTTATATTTGTTGAGCCACACAAGTGAGATTTTTGCTTTAAAACCTGTCTTTGTCAAGTCTTGATTTATGTCCATCATTTCAATGTTGCTCTATTGTGTTCTCATCAAAATCAAGAACATAAAATTAAAAAAGCATTTCCAGTGCTGCCCCCTTCACTGGGTCAGGTTTATATTTCGTCTGTTCTAGGGCACCACTCACACTCACACATTTGTGCATTACATCTTTTGCCCACTACGCAAAACAAAAAGCAAATATTATATTGAAACATGTCCTTAATGTGTGGGGAAAATGGTAGGTGCCCCCCAAGTAGACAGGCACCTGTAGCCAAATGCCAATTGTTTTTGCAGCTCAGGTGACTTGAAAATGCTTCTGGTTTGGCTATTTTAACCCAAATTTAAAATTCTCACTTTAGTGAATTACATTTGTAATGGATGCTGACGCCAGACACTGTATGCTTCGCATAGAGAAATGTTAAAGGGACACTATAGTCACCTGAACAACTTCAGCTTAATGAGGTTGTTCAGGTGAGAACTATAGCTCCCTGCATCCTTTCTCATGTAAACACTGTAGTTTCTGAGAAAATACAGTGTTTACATTGGAAGCTAGGAACACCTCCAGTTGCAGTCACTCAGACTGCCACCACAGGGAGTTCCGAGTTCATGAATGCCTAATTCGCTTTCATCACGTTTTACGTCTTCACGCTTGGGCGAAGACAACAAACGTGCGCAGACAGGAGATAGGAGGCGCGTTCACAGTGCCTTCTATGTCCTGTAGTAACCCCGGAGCCTGTCAGCAATGCGAGCCGACAGTGGGGAGATAAGATCTCCTGCACACAGCATCGACTCGAGCTGAAGACCAGAGAGCGAGCAGAAGGATCTAAACCGTAAGTAAACTTATTTTGTGTGGGTGAGAGAGTAAGTGAGTGTGGGTAAGAAATAGGTAGTAATGGATAGTGTGTGTGTATGTTTAACAAAATTTATTTAAAATGTGTGTTTGTATACAATCACTAGTTTAGGAGAGTTGCCGTAGGAGTGGGGTGGGCATAGACAGTGAGCTGAGCTGTCAATCCGCTCGCGAACACACATACGGCGCACATGCGTGGTAGAGCTCCATGAAGAACCTGATTGGTGCTGCACATGCGCACCAGAGCTGAATGATGCTTCTCAAAGAGAAGCGTCCTATTGGGGACTTGTCTTTCTTGCTTTTATATGTTGACTATAGTGATCCTTGAAATTGACAGATTGTCAAATGTTGTGCTTTAGGGATCGACGGATTATCGGACAATATTCTGTATTTTTGGTAATATCGGTATTTGGCAAATGGAGATACCGATAATACATACCAGGACCACAGGGCCCATAAATCCCTCCCCTCCCCCCATTTTACACAAATTACATACCTACAGAAACACATACACTGCATACCCTATACACACTCTGCATTATATATATATATATATATATATATATATATATATATTACACACTGCATTCATTTATATACACAAACACACACTACACAAACATGCTCTGCATCCACTACACACACGCTACACAAACACACACAGCTCACCTGTCTAAACACACTGCATCCACCAAATGTTGCATGTATATTTTGTGCATTTACCTTTAGAAATAGTTTATTTATATGGTTCTATCCTACCCTTACGTTTTTGTGTCACTAAACCCCACTCCCTCTAGCATAGTGATGGGGAACCTATGGCACACCGTGCCCTCTCTGTGGACACGCGGCCATTGGTCGCCGGGGGAGGGGGCTGCTGGCTGTCTGCAGCAATGCAGAGTAGGAACCTGCCTGCCCAAAACGGCAGGCGCCTACTCTGCTTCCATGTCCGGAGGGCTCTAGGAAGCAGCTCTCCTGTTCTCCCGTGAGCAATCTGTGTGGAGCGTTGCTGCACATTACCAGCATCGTGTGGGAGGATAGAAGAGCAGCTTCGCACGCTTATACTTATCACCACCGGACCACCAGGGATGGCTGTGTCCCCCTCCCTTCCTCTTACCTTTGGTGAAGGGGGGGGTAGGGGGTGGGACACACAGCCACCCACAGATTTTAATATAACTTTTTTTTTTTGGTCTCTTCACCTCCACCACACACTCAGCGCCCCTCACACACACAGGCACGCATACTCAGCGCCCCTCGCACACACACACAGCACTCCACACGTTACATGAAACACATACACTGCACCCCTCAATGCAATGTGTGTGTATTCAGCAGTCTGTGTGTGTATTCAGCAGTCTGTGTGTGAATGTGTTCAGCAGTCTCCGTCTATGTATTGCATTTGTTGGAGATACTAATACATATAAGCTTCATTTTATCTATTTATATCATTTAAAATGTGTATCATTGAACTCTGTTGTGTTCTTTTAAAACAAAAGTTGTTAATTAGTTCGGACAACTGTAAGAGTTTTTTTCTAAACTTAAACCTCAGTATTCAAGTTTAATTGCCATGTTGGCACTTTGAGGGAAAAAAAGTTGGCATGTATTGCGGTTTGCAAAATAGGGATAAGGACTAGCGCTTCTTTCTCACAATATATTGTACCAGCGTATATACAGTGATTTTATACAAATGAGCAGCTAAACATTCTTGTGACTCCTTCAATGTCACCAATTACTCCAACAAGAAAGAAAAAAAAAAAAAAAACAATTCTTTAAAGAATGTAGCGCTTATAAGATAGACAAATGAATTATCACCTTTTTATGTTCTTTCGGAAGATATATTCTCATTTAAATGTCGAATAAGTAAATATCTAAAAATGATAATCAAGCATAGTGTAGATGGTACATAACTATAAAGTTATATTTGTATATGATTATTACACACTCACAAACAGAGAGCTATGGACCCAGCTCTGGTTTGAATCACTTCTGGGTCCGTATAGGCGACCCACCCCTGCTATGGATGTATGTCTTGTCCTAAAGGGGAATAAATACACCCAAAATAGCGCAGCACAGTTGGTGGTAGTTTAAAATAAAAATACCATTTATACTTATAATTTATGATATTATAAGTATAAATTCTCCCCTAAAATAATTACTAATACACATAAAAATATAAAGTAATTATCAATTCTTTACCTAACTAAACGGATTTTATGTATTATTATTATTATTATAAAGAAAGGTGAATTATAGTGGAGTAAGTATTTATAGTATATTTGGTGTTATGTTCTGTAAAATTTCTTTAACATGGAATATAGAATTTGCAATGATACAATGAATATTGGAAATGAAATCACATTGTATAATTTTATGTATCGGAATCAGGTTTTATTCAGGAAGAGGCAAATATGATGTGAAAGATGTATCTGTTTGATTTTGATATGATACATATATGAACATTAAGGACTGATACTGTTCGTTTTTTTTTGTTTTTTTTTTAAATGTATCTTTTTATGGACTTTGGCATTTTATGAGTTAATACAATCCATGCAGACTCCTCCATATACACGAGATGGTGCAAGATTGGAATGCTTAATTAAATTCGTTTGCTGTTTTAAGAAGACTATACATGGATTACAGCCACAAATCCTATATAGGAGTAATGCTTTTTGATCTTGTAGAAACGAAGGCAGCTGCCGAAACTCCGAGTGAGAGAATCCGTTCAGCTGCCTCCGATCACAGTATGACAACGAGGCATGGACCGCACACGTCTAGCCTGTGGGTGGTAATGACGTGTGCGGCACATACACACCGGCAAAACATTTGTTGATTTGGAGCAGTATTTAAATGAAGACAGGGAACCAGGAAACATTCAGCTCACCGATCCGGTTGAAGAAGCCGCGTCCCAGTGGTGAAACGCGTTCCGGTTTTACTTGGACATTGTTCCGATTTTAATTTATAGATTGTATTAATAAATTTGTTCTTTTCTACTTTTTATCCTGGTTCTCCATCCATCTTTCTACATTTGGGAGTGCAGTCCCTAATCTGCATACTGCTCAAGAATGGAGTCAATTTAGACTCTCTCCGTTTGTAAGTACCCATTTGGGAATGGTATTTTTATTTTAAACTACCACCAACTGTGCTGCGCTATTTTGGGTGTATTTATTCCTCTTTAGGACAAGACATACATCCATAGCAGGGGTGGGTCGCCTGTACGGACCCAGAAGTGGATTCATACCAGAGCTGGGTCCATAGCTCTCTGTTTGTGAGTGTGTAATAATCATATACAAATAATATAACTTTATAGTTATGTACCATCTACACTATGTTTGATTATCTTTTTTAGATATTTACTTATTCGACATTTAAATGAGAATATATCTTCCGAAAGAACATAAAAAGGTGATAATTCATTTGTCTATCTTATAAGCGCTACATTCTTTAAAGAATAGTTTTTTTTTCTTGTTGATGTATTGCGGTTTGGGCATTCGGGCTCAAAAAGGTTTGCCATCACTGCTCTAGCATATAAGCTCATTGAACAGGGCTCTTAGTCCAACTCGTCTGGTTACAAATATGTGTCTGTTAGTCCACTCATTGTACAGCGCTGCGACATTGGTTGGTGCTTTATAAATAATAATGAAAAATCTCCCTCCTGCCCAAACTCCCTGTGCTGCAAGTAGGGGCATGTCTACTAAATAGTGAGCAGCCAATTGCTCTCACCCCCTCTTTCCAATAAAGGTGGAACTGCACGGTGGGGCAACTGTTAAAATAATTAATGGGGCGGGAACATAGTGTCCCCATCCACCTGTGTCTTGCGAGTAGGGGCTATTAACCCGAAAGGAGCACCTAGTGTCCCACCCATTAGCGGTGGGTGGGGGCACTAAGTGAGAGGGGGGTAACCTATTTTCATCCTCCACACCCTACCTATTGGCAGCGAGTGGGGGCCCTAAGTTATAAGGGGAGAAACTTATTGCCTGCCTGCTAGTGAGTGAGCTTTTTTGTAGGGAGCATGTGTGTATCAGTGAGGTTGTCAGTGAGCTTATCAGTAGAGAGCATGTGTGTCTAAATGTCCTTGTGTGTCAGTGGGCATTCCCTGTAGTGAGCGTCAGTGAGCTTGTCTGTAGGAAAAAATGTTTTCATATGGAAAGACCAATTGTTTATATTAGAAAAAGAAATCTATATTCCGAAGATCACTGGAAAGCTACCACCAGACAGCATGCTAGCTGCAGTTAATTAACCCCTTAGCGACCGAGGACGGTTCAGGACCGTCATCGGCATTTTTGCCTTGAGGACCGATGACGGTCCTGAACCGTCCTAACGATCTGGGGGTACTTACCTGATCGCCGCCGGGGGAACGACGGCGATCAGTGTTCCTCCGGTTGTGGGGAGACTGCCTGCAGCCCAGACAGTCTCCCCACACTGATTTAGGACCCCTGTGGCCATGTGATCGCTTAACACAGCGATCACATGGTCACAATAGGTGTCCATAGTGCTGCCTGCAGGGGGACTGTCTGTGCTGACAGGCAGTCTCCCTGCTAGTGTAAAATCAAAAAAATAAATAAAGTTAATGTTAATTAAAAATAAAAAAAATTATATTTGTGTATATATGATATATAGACATATAATATATCTATATAATATGTCTATATATCATCTATATAATGCCATACTAAGTGTATTTTTATATTAATATGTACTTATATTAATATAAAAATACACTTATAATTAAATTACACACGTATATATATATATATAATATATATAATAACTATATATATTGTATATATATATTATTATAAAATATAAATAATAAGTAATTTAAATTAAATTTTTTAAATAATAAAAAATTTAAAATTATATCTATATGAAATTTTATTCTAACTGTATTTTAAAATTAATATATATTTATATCAAAATACACTTAGAATGAATTTGTATATATATCTATGTATATAAAAATAAGAAATATACATACGTCCATATACAAAATTACATAAATAATTATATAAATATACACGTAGACTTCAAATATATAAATATGCATATATATTTAAATTCTACGTGCGTATTTATATAATATTTTTACATAATTCAGTAATTTTATTGATTGCAATTTAAGGGACTTGCCTGCCAACCCAGGCCGAAAGTTCAGAGAATTGAATTTGCTAGCACTGTATTTTACCCTGTAACATTCTACGACACCCTAAAACCTGTACATGGGGGGTACTGTTTGACTCGGGAAACTTCACTGAACACAAATATTAGTGATTCAAAACAGTAAAACATATCACAGCGATGATATTGTCAGTGAAAGTGACTTTTTTTGCATTTTTCACACACAAACAGCACTTTTACTGATTATATAATTGTTGTGATACATTTTCCTGTTTTGTAATACTAATATTTGTGTTCAGCAAAGTCTCCCGAGTAAAACAGTACCCCCCATGTACAGGTTTTATAGCATTTTTGAAAGTTACAAGGTCAAATATATGGGTCAAATATTTTTACATTGAAAATAGCCAGGTTGGTTACGTTGCCTTTGAGAGCGTATGGTAGCCCAGGAATGAGAATTACCCCCATGATGGCATACCATTTGCAAAAGAAAACAACCCAAGGTATTACAAATGGGGTATGTCCAGTCTTTTTTAGTGACCACTTGGTCACAAACACTGGCCAAAATTAGCGTTCAATTTAGTTTTTTTACTTTTTTCACACACAAACAAATATGAATTCTTACTTTGGCCAGTGTTTTCAACTAAGTGGCTACTAAAAAAGACTGGACATACCCCATATTGAATACCCTGGGTTGTCTACTTTAAAAAAAATATGTACATGTGGGGTGTTATTCAGAGATTTATGACAGATAATAGTGTTACAATGTCACTATTGATAAATTTTAAAAAATTTGTTTTGAAACCGCAATATCCTACTTGTACCTATAGCCCTATAACATGCAAAAAAAAGCAAAAAAGCATGTAAACACTGGGTATTTTTAAACTCAGGACAAAATTTTGAATCTATTTAGCAGTTTTTTTCATTCGCTTTTGTAGATGAGTAAAAGATTTTTCAAGTAAAAGTCAAAAAACATGTATTTTTTTCAATTTTTCATCATATTTTTTTATTTTTTTTAAATTAAAATACATGAGATTATATAAATAATGGTATGTAAAGAAAGCCCCTTTTGTCCTGAAAAAAACAATATATAATTTGTATGGGAACAGTAAATGAGAGAGCGGAACATTCCAGCCAAACACAAACACCACAAAAGTGTAAAAATATGCCTGGTCGCAAATGTACAACATCGCAAAAACAGTCCAGTCCTTAAGGGGTTAAGCATTGTCCACAATAACAACCTGCACGATCACAGAGACCAACAGGCTCATATATGCCACAGCATTAGTGGTCCTCCAGCTACTTGACTACAAGATCAGGCTCAAAGAGAAGCAATGCCCACCATGGAGACTACAACTGGAAGCCAAGATAAAAGCAACACAGAAGGAAGTTGGTAAGCTGGATCCACTTAACAGAGGTGGAAAGATCAAAGCTAGATTCTGGCTGCTGTGGAAGTAGGATATGCCCATACCAGAGCGCTGGAAACAACTAAGCAAAGACTGACCTTTGCTTAGTTGTTTCCTGCGCTCTGGTATGGGCATATCCTTCTACTTCCACAGCAGCCAGAATCTATACTGGCAACCAGACTGAGCAGATACACCAGAGAAGCAGAGGCTTAAGGAATCAATGCCCTCTTTACCAAAGAACCATCGAAGCTGTATGCACAGCTACAGGGTAAGCACCCCATCTCCTCACAAGACCCACCCAGAGCTAAGACTGAACAGTACTGGAAGAATATCTGAGCGAAAGAAGCATCTCATAACACCGAGGCCCAGTGGCTACTAGACCTTAAAGCAGACCACTGCATGCTGCTAGAACAGGAACCAGTTGCCATCACAGTTGAAGATATCCAACAGAGAACCGCACACATGAAGAATTGGTCAGCCCCAGGACCTGACATGACCCACAACTACTGGATAAAGAAGTTAACAGCGCTGCATGAACGCCCAGCAGCACAAATTAACCAGCTACTAGCAACAGGCTGCCACCCTGACTGGCTAACACAAGGCAGAACAATACTGGTCATGAAGGACCCTCACAAGGGAACAACACCATGCAACTACTGACCAATAACCTGCCTCCTCACAACATGGAATATCCTGTCAGGCATCGTAGCCTCCAAGATTCAAGGGCAACACCAGAGGATCAAAACACCAACTACTGGTAGACAAAGCAGTCACGCGGGATTCTAAGACCAGACAGATGAATCTGTGCACGACCTGGATTGACTATGTCAGGTTTTTGATCAGGTCACATAAGACTTACACCGGGGTTAACTTTAGGTTCTTTATTGGCAATCTTCGGCATGGCTTTTCTTGTAATAAGTACAACAGGACTTAAAGGGAAGTGGAAATAATATAGAGGAATAAGAGTAGAAAGGAGAATACAAAATAGAGGGTAAGGAAACAAGCCCAAAACAGGTCATTTAGGAAATAAAGCCAAGTAAAGGACCACTATAGTGCCAGGAAAACATACTCGTTTTCCTGGCACTATAGTGCCCTGAGGGTGCCCCCACCCTCAGGGTCCCCCTCCCGCCCGGCTCTGGAAAGGGGTTAAAACTTACCTTTTTCCAGCGCCGGGCGGAGAGTTCTCCTCCCCGTCGGCTGAATTCGCACGCGTGGCAAGAGCTGCGCGCGCATTCAGCCGGTCACATAGGAAAGCATTCATAGTGAGAAGCACGCAAGCGCCTCTAGCAGCTGTCAATGAGACAGCTGCTAGAGGAAATAGGGGAAGGCTTAACCCATTCATAAACATAGCAGTTTCTCTGAAACTGCTATGTTTTAAAAAAATGGGTTAACCCTAGCTGGCCCAGGCACCCAGACCACCTCATTAAGCTGAAGTGGTCTGGGTGCCTAGAGTGGTCCTTTAAGGAAAATATAGGACAATGGGAGAAAGCAGAACCTATAAGCGAGATATAGGTAAGTATAAAGAGAGATAACAGAAATAGTGTTTAGGCAATATGCCCCAGGCAGGTTATTAGGTAACAGGGAAACCTATAAGTGAGATTATAGGTAATTAAAGTGATGGAATACCTATAAATTAAAACATAGGTTACATGTAAACAAAATATACCTAGACCGAATTTAACAGAATAGAAAGGTTTAAGAAATACAGATTAGTTAGACGTTTAGGTGATCAGCCTCTTTGGTTTGGTTGAAGTTCTGCAGCTTTTAGATGTAACAGGATCATTTAGGATAGTTGCAAATAACAGGAATGTTTATATTATCCATGTTGGTTGTGTAGATTTAGGTAGATTTAAGGCAGACTCAAAACAAAGTAATACGGTATCAAATTCAAGTATGGAATTAAGCAGGTAGGTATTGTAGATCAGGTTTGTCCCCAAGCTTATTGGTAGTAAGCAGATTGGAAATGTAGCAGGTTGATCGGCTAAATCAGGTTGGGTTCAATGTTATTCAGAGTAGAGCAGGTTTTCTCAGTAGAAGCCAGGATCAGAACATCAACTTCAATGAATGTAAAGACCATTTGTTCAGCAGGGTGTGGCCTCTTATAGCAGATTTAGTAATCATGCTATGCAGGCGAGAGAAACTGTGGTTAGACGTGTGGGTAGGGAAATTGTAGAAATCAAACAGAAAAAATGAAACCTAACTTTGGTTGTCAGGCTAGGATCCTGACAGACTACAAGAAAGCCTATGACACAATGCCACACACATGGATACTGGAATGCTTGGCTCTCTACAAGGTCATCAATACAATAAGAGCCTTCATCAAGAACTCGATGGGCAAGTGGAAATCAACTCTAGAAGCCAATTCCAGGACAATAACTCAAATGAACATTAAATGGGGCATATACCAAGGTGATGTGCTATCCCCAATGGTGTTCTGCATAGGCCTCAACACCCTTAGCCAGATTATCAAGAGTGGATATGGATACGGATACAGGTTTAAGAGTCGAGTTACCATCAGCAACCTACTTTTCATGGACAACATCAAGCTGTTTGCCAAGAATGAGTGTGACATTGACTCACTGATCCACCTAACTAGGATATACAGCAAGGACATCCGAATGTCATTCGGACTAGAGAAGTGCGGGCGGATGATGGCAAAAAGAGGGAAGATGATCAGGATAGGAGGAGTTGAAGTTCCAGAAGGCCAAATAGAAAAGAACAGCTACAAGTACCTGGGGGTAGAGAACAGCTACAAGTACCTGGGGGTACCACAAACGCATGGCAACCATGAGGAGGAGGTAAGGAGGATAGCTACATCCAAGTACCTCCAAAAAGTTAGTTCCTGAAGTCCCAGCCATCAACACATATGCCCTAGCGGTCATCAGGTACCCAGCTGGAATAATAACCTGGCCAAGAGAAGAACTGGTCACCATGGATGTCAAGACTAGGAAACTACGCACTATAAATGGAGGATTCCAACTGAAATCTAGCACCCAGACTGTACACCTGCCGGAAGGAAGGAGGTCAGGGCCTGATGAGTGTCAAGGCCACAGTCCTGGATGAAACACAGAGCATCCACAAGTACATCGCAAAGATGGTTCCCGAAGATGAACTGCTAAGGTAATGCCTGAGACTTCAACAGATAGAGGAGGTTCCTTGGCAAGACAAACCTCTACCACTGGCAGATAGTGGATGTGGCTTACATGACAAAATCATACCAATGGTTGGAAAAGGCAGGAATGAAAGACGGCACTGAGGCACTAATCCTCGCAGCACAGGAAAAGGCCCTCAGCACCAGATCAATAGAAGCTGGAGTCTACCACACCAGGCAAGGCCCTAGGTGCAGACTGTGCAAAGAGGCCCCTAAGACAGTCCAGGACCTAGCAGCCGGATGCAAGATGTTAGCAGGAACTGCATACACGGAGAGACAGAACCAAGCTGCTGGGATTTTGTATCGAAACATCTGCACAGAATATGGATTAGACCTTCCTAAGTCCAGATGGGAGATACCACAAAGGGTAGTTGAGAATGACAGGGCTAAGATCCTGTGGGACTTCAAGATCCAGACAGACAAGCAAGTGCTGGCCAACCAACCTGACATTGTGGTGGTAGACAAGCAACGGAAGACTGCAGTCGTGGTGGATGTGGCAATACCCAGTGACTATAACATCAGGAAGAATGAACATGAGAAGGTGGAGAAATACCAAGGACTGAAAGAAGAACAAGAAAGGATGTGGAAAATGAAGGCAGTAGTAGTCCCAGTTGTGATAGGAGCACTCTGGGCTGTGACTCCTAAGTTGGGGGAGTGGCTTCAACAGATTCCAGGTGGGACATCTGAGATCCAGAAGAGTGCAGTTCTAGGAACAACTAAGATACTGCGCAGAACCCTCAAACTCCCAGGCCTCTGGTAGAGGACCCAAGAATGAGGAATAAACATACCACCTAAGACGGATGAGAAAATCCATTATTTATGTTTGTGTGTTTGAGTAATATATAAATCATCTGGGGTGGCAAGACATAGCCTTACATATTACATGTGATAATACATGGCACAATGACTTATGGGGCTGGCACATTCAAGTAATTCAGCTGGCGTGCACTACAATCAGATAAAACAGTGTTTTTATACTTTTTAAAGATGTCCCAGTAATGTGTCTAAACCAATCCAAGTCTCTTCACGTTCTCAAACTCTGAGTTTCTTTATCTCGGCCTCGCAGTACTTGGGTGGCTGAATTTGCATTTGAGAGTTAAAGGACCATTATAGGCACCCAGACCACTTCAGCTTAATGAAGTGGTCTGGGTGCCAGGTCCAGCTAGGGTTAACCCCCTTTTTTTTTTTCTATAAACCTAGCAGTTTCAGAGAAACATGGCACAATGTTTCAGAGAAACTGCTATGTTTATATTAGGGTTAATCCAACCTCTAGTGGCTGTCTCATTGACAGCTGCTAGAGGCGCTTGCGTGATTCTCACTGTGAAAATCAAAGTGAGAGCACGCAAGCGTCCATAGGAAAGCATTGTAAATGCTTTCCTATGAGACCGGCTGAATGCGCACGCAGCTCTCCCCAGAGCCGGGCAGGAGGGGGACCCTGAGGGTGGGGGCACCCTCAGGGCACTATAGTGCCAGGAAAACAAGTTTTCCTGGCACTATAGTGGTCCTTTAATGCCCTGAGGGTGCCCCCACCCTCAGGGTCCCCCTCTCGCCCGGCACTGGGGAGAGGAAAGGGGTAAAAACTTACCTTTTTCCAGCGCTGGGCCGGGAGCTCTCCTCCTCCGTTCCTCCCATTCGGCTGAATGCGCATGCGCGGCAAGAGCTGCGTGCGCATTCAGCCGGTCTCATAGGAAAGCATTTACAATGCTTTCCTATGGACGCTTGCGTGCTCTCACTGTGATTTTTTTTTTTTTTTCACAGTGAGAATCACGCAAGCGCCTCTAGCAGCTGTCAATGAGACAGCCGCTAGAGGAATTGGAGGAAGGATTAACCCATTTGTAAACATAGCAGTTTCTCTATAAAAAAAAAAAATGGGTTAACCCTAGCTGGACCTGACACCCAGACCACTTCATTAAGCTGAAGTTGTCTGGGTGCCTAGAGTGGTCCTTTAAGCAATGAGAGTATCTGCCTTTTTGCTGCAACGAGAAACACAAATTACTAACAATTTCCAGGCAATTAAGCACATCAAAATCAATCCTATCACCACCACTATGGGTTTTAAGAAATTTGAAAGCATATTGTTAAACCAAACACCAATAGATGCCATCCAGGAGAAGGGGTTCCATCCTTCTTTAGATATATATCTAGCTTGTTGTTGCAACTGTTATACTTTATTCATGTGTGCCTCTATGGGGTCATGGGAGTCCTCAACCCAGGTACAGCATTCTGATCCTATGATAGCACAAGTTCCCCCTTCTATAGCTAGAAGATAATAAAGAGCCATTCTGTTCTGTAGGGCAACTTTTCTGACTTGGGCTAATTCTTCATTTAGGGCATGGATAGAACTTGTAATTTCATTAATAATCCCATCCATGATACTAGCATATTTATTTATCTTATTTAATAATTCGACTACCCAACCTGTTCAAGAGGGGAACCACATCCAGGTTTTATCTGCAGATGAGAATAGTTCTCGTTTATACCTGGTTCCCCCTTGGTATATTTCAAACAATGAGATATTTAAGCGTGGTCTAATGGCTGGTACAACTCTTCCTATGGTACAGTTACCTCATGCTACCATGGGAAGCCATGAGTAGGCCTTATTGCCACAAATGTAATAGAGTCCTTGTCTCAAATCCCTTGGAATTATCTTACCATGATTTTCCAGCCACTTTTGAAACTATACCATATTGTGGTGCACATGACTTTGAGAGCTTTACTCATCCTCGTCTGTTTGTTCAGGGCAAGCACACCTCGGGGCACACACAACTTTCAATGTTGGGCAAAAACATAAGTTGTTACAACCTGCATCTACCATATCACATGGTTCCATTTTAAATTTTAAGGTAGCATTTCTACAATCTGTTTCACCCAACATGGACCTTAGGTAAACTGGCAAAGTGACCTTTTATTTTTGCTATGTGATTTACATACATGGGCCCTAGATATATTGTAGGTGGAGAGATTATACCAGCAATTTCTAAATATGTCCCTTGATCTGAGAGAGCATTATGAGTAGAGTGATCTACATCTATTTGAACTAGGGATCGACCGATATTGAGTTTTTTTTTTTTTTATTATTTTTTTTTTAGCGCCGCTACCCTGTGAACTTTCAGGCCGATAGCCAATATGTTGCCGATATTCTGTACATATACTATTTTGAAGAAAAAAAAACTAATTCAAAAGGTAAATGCACAAAATATACATGCCACATGTAGTGGATGAAGTGTGTTTAGACAGGGGAGCTGTGTGTGTTGATGCAGAGTGTGTTTGTGTAGTGTGTGTGTAGATAATGTAGTGTGTGTAATGCAGTTTGTGTAGTGTGTGTAGTGTGTGTATGTAATGCAGTGTGTGTGTGTGTTTGTGTAGTGATATAATTTGTGTAAAATGGGGGGGGGTCATTTTTTTTTTATTTTTTTTTAAATATTTAAATGTGTTTTTTTTTGTTTGTTTTTTGTCCCCCCTCCCTGCTTCTTACCAGGGAGGGGGGGTTATAGTATTCCCTGGTGGTCCAGTGGCTTGTTAAGTACAGTGGTGGCTCAGTAGCAGCAAGCGCTGACTTACCTTGCAAGCAGCTCCTCCAGCTCCCTGTGTAAATCTCGCGACTCTTAGTGCCGCGCGGAGCGTTGCCGTGGTAACCCATGGCAACGCTCTGCGGCCGCGGGTCTCGCAAGATTTACACAAGGAGCTGCTTGCAAGGTAAGTCAGAGCTTGCTGCTGGCCCCCCACAGGACCGCCGGGCTTGTAATGCGCCCGGTGGTCCTGTTATACATTATCGGCAATATCGGTATCTGAATTGGCCAATTGGCCTGTATATAATGCAGTGTGTTTGTGTAGTGTGTGTGTATATAATGCAGTGTGTGTGTGTTTTTGTGTGTATATAATGCAGTGTGTGTGTTTGTGTAGTGTGTATGTAATGCAGTGTGTTTGTGTAGTGTGTGTGTGTATATAATGCAGTGTGTGTTTTGTGTGTATGTAATGTAGTGTGTGTGTGTGTGTGTGTGTAGTGTGTTTGTGTAGTGATGATGTAATTTGTGTAAAATGGGGGGGCATTTTTTTTTAATTTTAATATTTTTTTAAATATTGAATTTTTTTTTGTTTGTTTAGTCCCCCCTCCCTGCTTCTTACCAGGGAGGGGGGTTATAGTATTCCCTGGTGGTCCAGTGGCTTGTTAAGTACAGTGGTGGCTCAGCAGCAGCAAGCGCTGACTTACCTTGCAAGCAGCTCCTCCAGCTCCCTGTGTAAATCTCGCGACTCTTAGTGCCGCGTGGGGCGTTGCCATGGTAACCCATGGCAACGCTCTGCGGCCGCGGGTCTTGCAAGATTTACACAAGGAGCTGCTTGCAAGGTAAGTCAGAGCTTTCTGCTGGGCCCCCCACAGGACTGCCGGGCTTGTAATGGGCCCGGCGGTCCTTTTATATGTTATCGGCAATATCGGTATCTGAATTGGCCAATACCGATATTGCCGAAAATACCAAATATCGGCCGATAATATCGCCCAGAACGATAATCGGTCGATCCCTAATTTGAACCTCATAACTATAATCAGTTAAATTCAAATCATTCATTGATATTGGTACACCAATTAAAGGGATTCCTTTGAGTGGCAGGAATATGGGAAAATATCCAGCAGTCGGTAGCATTCAGCTGCTTGGCAGTTTGTTGATGTAGAAGCCAGATGGAATTTGTCTGCTTCCTGCCGTCCACTTGTGCATGAGGGTATAAAACACAGAAAAACAAGCAGGCCAGTACGCGTTTTGACAGTTTGTTAATCCTTTTTGTCCCCAGTGGCCTTGAACACAGGTTTTTATCACTAGCCTGGAAATCTACTAGCTTACAGTGTAAGGTGTGTATCCAGTTTGGTTTCCCTTCCACCTTGACTGAGGTGGGTGTGGTCAGTAATACCTGGTATGGGCCATCAAATCGGGGCTCTAAATGTCTCCTCATGTATCTCCTTATCACCACCCAGTCTCCAGGGTGCAGGTGGTGAGTTCCGGTTCTTTCTTCTGGATCTGGTAATGAAGAGAGCACTTTTCCATGCAATTTAGTCAGTTGCTTGTGCAGCTGGACAACATAGTCAGTTAAAGAAGCGTACTGTCCATGTAATTCTTGTGGAAAGAAAAGGCCTGTCAGTGGTGTTCTGCCAAACAAAATCTCAAATGGCTAAAGGCCATGTTTTCCCTTTGGGGTGTGTCAGACTTTACAAGATGTTTAATTTCTACCTTTGTCATTTTGCCTGGATTGTATTATGCACAGATCATGCATTTCTTACACCACTCAGTTGCAAATTGTGAGAAACCTGGTGCAAAACCAAAATTTATTGACACTCTCAATCATTCCCCCTATGGAAACATGGGAAGGGAGATTATTATTATTATTATTATTATTATTATTATTATTATTGCCATTTATATAGCGGCAACAGATTCCGTAGCGCTTTACAATATTATGAGAGGGGGATTTAACTATAAATTACAAATAAACTTGCGGGAACAATAGGTTGAAGAGGACCCTGCTCAATCGAGCTTACATTCTATAGGCGGTGGGGTGTAAAACACATTAGGACAGGAATTTGCAGTCAAATAAGGTGGGCTGCCCTTTAGGGGAGAGCAAGAGACGGGTATGTGAGGTTACTCTGGGAGGCCATAAACTTTCCTAAAGAGATGGGTTTTAAGGGCCTTGTTAAAAGATGCAAGACTAGGGGAAGAGTCTGATGGCGGTAGGCAGGCTATTACATAGGAAGGGAGCTGCCCGCGAGAAGTCCTGCAAGCGTGAGTTGGCCGTACGGGTGCGTACAACGGACAGGAGGTGGTCACGGGCAGAGCGGAGAGACCGAGAAGGGACATACCTATGGATCTGTGAGGAGATATAAGAGGGGCTAGCGTTCAGTGCTTTATAGGTGTGGATTAGTACTTTGAATTGACTCCTGTAGCATACAGGAAGCCAATGTAAGGACTGACAGAGGGGTGAGGTGTGAGAGAAACGACTAGAGAGGAAAATCAGTACGGCTTTTGGGAAGATCAATCAGGAGAGGGTTACAATAATCCATGCAGGAAATTACTAGCGCATGGACAAGCTCCTTGGTTGTATTTGGTGCAAGAAAGGGGCGGATGTGGGCTATGTTTTTAAGATGGAATCTACAGGATTTGGCAACATGCTGGATGTGAGGCTCAAAGGTGAGGCCAGAATAAAGTATGACGCCAAGACAGCGTGCTTGCAAGGATGGACTGATGTGGGTGTGGCGGAACCAACCTCGCCACTATGCACTGGAGAAGCCTGGTTGCCAGCCTCCTGCCATGTGACTATGGCCCCTGGGATGTATTGCCCTTTAAAGACATGATTTGGGCATAATGGATTTGTGTTGTGCTGCTGCTGGCCCTTTTAAGAACCATCTGTGGACATACTGTGGAGTTACTGGGTGGCCACCATTTCCTGTATCAGAAGCACATGGTGAGAACAATGGATGGCGGCCATTTTAACTCCCAGACACTGTTTGGACTTTTCAACACGGTGCCATCTCGCCAGTATTTGGTGCACAGAGACATCGTGCGGTGGTTTTGGACTATACAGCAGGGGACACATTATACAGTGATTGTTTTTCATTTAGCCTGTATATATTCTGCAGAATCTGCATTAAACTGTATTTTCCAAAGTACTGAACGGATCTGGGTGAATTTTGGATATGTGGATCACCCAGATCCCCCAGTTCCAAGGATATACTTTATTTTTATGGGGTTATTGCATGTTTTGGGGTCCCTGTGATGTGTTTTATGAAACTGTATTTCTCTGGCTGTGATAATTAGATTACCCATTGTGTTCAGTAATCATATCACAGCCAGAGGGGAGGATTTTGTGTGGGAGTGTCTGGGTGTATTGTATGGATTGATTGGCTGTTTTGTAACGCCCTGTGGGCTGTACTATGTTTGTGGATTGGGAATAAAAGAGACTGTATGTGACAGTACAGGGAGTTCCTGTTTTAACCCTCAAAGTGAAGTGTCGTCTCATTATTGGGGGAAGGATTTATTGTATGCTGTTCCAGTTTGACTGCTAGGAGAGTAAACCTATTCGTATGGTTCCTATTCAACTGTCTACAGCATTCATATGCTTGGGAGAATTTATTTGTTTCTCCGATTTGGTGATTGTGGTGTCTGCCAGAGTGCTTGGAGTCCTCAGGAAGCGCTAGGAGCATCCTTTAACGGAGGTACCCAGTCGGGGTCCAGGCGATCCGTTACAGTGGGTACCACAAACTTGAAGGGAGAGCGAAAGAGGAGGATCAGTATTAGGAGGAGGAAAGACAAGGAGCTCAGTTTTAGAGAAATGAGAGAAACTGTCTAGAACAGGATATAGAACTGGGGGTGCACACAATCGACCATCCCCATGTTTCCAAACATCATTCTCCAGCTTGCAACCAGCATTTTTCCACTTGCTCTGAGTTGGGAACCTGTTTGGTTTTGGAGGGTCTTTAAGACATCCATTGTCAAAGTTGAGACATGTTTGGTATCCATTGTCTGCAATACCCAACCAATCCCAAAAAGGCTCTGATCTGTTTGGCATTTTGTGGGTATGGTGCCTTCTGTATCACAGAGACCCTATCTGCAGTGATGTGTTTAGAGCCCTGTGATATGCAATGGCCTAGGAAAATGACTTTTTCCTGGGGGAAACCTTGCATCCCTCAGTGCTCAAGTGGGAAAGTTGTGAAACAGTTGCACTGGTGCACAGCTCCCTGAGGTGGCTGCCAGCAGGATATCATCAACATACTGCACAACAGTCACCCCAATGGATGCATGCCACCTGTCTAGGACTTGCTTCATGATTTGACCAAATTCAGATGGTGAAGAGACCTTTCCCTGTGGCAACCTTGTCCAAGCATACTGCTGTCCCTCAAATGTAAAGGCAAACAGGTACTGAGAGTCGGGATGTACAGGGACACAAAAGAAAGCGTCTACCAACTCTATCACACTGAACCAGGAGGCATTCAAAGAAATTTCTCCTAGAATAGTGTGGGGATTTGGACCAAGTGGGGAATCCTCTCAAATTACTTTATTTACTGCCCGCAAATCATGAACCAGGCGGAACTGTCCTGGTCTCCTAGGCTTAGCCACAGGATATAAGGGTGTATTTACAGGTGATTTTGTGGGAATCTGGATCCCCTGGTTCACAAAAAATGTGATTTGGTCTATTACACCATTTAATTGTTTCATGCTGAGGGGATACTGAGGAATCCTGGGCAATTTAGCCCCAGGTCTGAGCTTAATGACCACTGGGTGTGCTTGTTTTATCAGGTCCACTGGACCACCTTTTATAGTCCAAACATCTGGGGGGACATCCTCCAGGTCAGGTGGAATATTCTGCTCTGGAAGGATGTGCACTGCCATTAGGGGGATCAAACTCTCTAATGTGTTGTGGTCTTCTGATCCCACTAATGTAGTGACAACTGGTCCATCCTTTGTTTATTAGATGTTCGCGTTTAGTTTCATCAGTGCATCTCTTCCCAGCAAATTGCAGGGGACAGTGTCACCAAGGACAAAGGAGAGGGAGGTCTCAACTGGACCTATAGTCACAGGAGTCTCTACAGTCTACTTCAGCATGATAGTTTTACCTGCTAGTCCTATAGCATCAATTTGTCCAGAAATTTTCAAATTTTGGGCTTCTGATATTTTGAGAACACTGCGGGCTGCTCCAGTGTCCACCAGGCACTCCCCAGAATGGTATGGCATGTCAGAGAGGGTCAGGCGAACAAAGGCATCATGTCCTCTGCTCTCAGAGATGACTGGTAGCACTGGAAACACTGCCCGTCAATCGCTCTCCTGTCTCCCCCGCTTTGGGGCTGTGCAGTCCCTTGCAAAATGACCCAGTTTGTCACAGTTATAGCATTTAACTTTTCTGGGTTCCCCTCTGTTTGTTCCTCTGAACTGCTTCTATTGAGGTTTCCCAGGGGCACTGACTAGCATTACCCTCTGGCCTTTCTTTTCCTGCACTTCCTCAATGTTTCTTTGTATTGAGCTTGCTAGGCTCATTAGTGCTGGGACTGACTTGTCTCTCCGATCAGAATTGGCAGAAACTAATTTGTCATGGATATATCTTTATTCAGTCCAGACACCAATGTGGCAGTGAGCATCTTACCCATACTTTGGTCTTCAAGGTTACCTCCTGCCTCTTCCACAGTCTGCCTAAATCTTTCAAAGTAGTCTTCCACTGGTTCTTTAGCCTTTTGTTGGATATTTGTCACCCGGACCCAAGACTGTGGAGGGAATACCTCCGTAATCTTATTCTTGAGTTGGTTGACATATTCCAATGCCCTACGTGGGGTATTCTCTACCTCTGATGGATTAAGTGGCAAGCTAAGTTTAGTACAGATGGCAGCTGTGTCTTTGCTTACCTCCTCAGTCTATTTTGGGAGTGATTATTAGTTCTCCTTCCACTCCACAAAATACTTTTTCTCCCCTCGGGGCACATAGATCAACATATAGGGGGGGGTGGGAGATTCAATCCTCCGTGGGGCATGTTATGGTTGGGCCAACAGGAGTTTTGAATTGGCCCCTAGGTCTCTCAGGGTCTCTGTATTGTCCATGGCATGCTCCACTAGAGAGATTGCAAGCTGCTCTATCTGTTCTGCCTCTTCCCTTTCTGACTCAGACTGACTCTCCTCCCTCTGCTGGTCTGTTCTTACGGATGCTGTCTTAGTCTCTACAGTAAAAATGCCTTGGGCCTTTTGCTGTCTGATAGGATTCTACAGTCCATCTACTCCAAGCTGCTTTCTCATTTGGTTCTACTAATTTTTGTTTGAAATTTTTGTATAGATTCTCCCAGCGGGGTAATTCAAAGGTTCCCCATTTGGGAATTCCAAAATCCATTCCCTTAGTCAGCTTGCTCCACTTCGGCAGATGCCAGCTGACCCACATGCCATATTTTTTATTCATACTCTCCTGTGGGATAGGAGGACTCTTTGGACGTCCTTTACTTGAGGGTGACGCAGTATCACCTTGCTAAGATCGTTTCCCATAGCCCGGCTATGATGGAGGGGACTCTTACCCTTCTCTCTCGATTCTTAGCAACATTTTGGTTGTGGCTGTCAGGGAAATTCCCACACTACAAATCGCCGCTTTTGATCTCTACAAATTTTCCAACAGAACCAAATGATAAACAGCAGGTAGACTATCCCAAAAAGTATCTGGCCTCTTATATCATCAAATGCGAAGGCGCTTGACTTAAGTCTGATTATTCATGGGAGACCAGACTGGTACATGCCCTTTAGTATGGGAGAGTACAGGCTCAAACCCGCGTGACCAGGGTAGTTTAGAAACAAAGCTGAGAGGTAATCAAAGATCAGGGGTTCGCTCTCTGGGAGTAGCTCTGTACCCAATAGCTGCAGTGGACTGAAGCCGAATTTAACAGACGGTGTCCAATGGCTGAGCACAGGGTGTACCCAGATACTTTGCACTTACAGACCAAGGTACACTTAGTAAGAAACACTGCATCAACCCACACTTAACCTTCTCTGATTTTTGTCCCTTTGCTGTGCAGACTATGGTTAGTTACAGTTTACTTGACAAGCACAGAGAGATAGAAAACATTTGTGTCTGAGGACGATAGGGTCCTCTTACTTAGCACATCACTGCCCCCACTGGCTCTCTCCGTAGAGGTGCGTATTGAGGCAGTCCAATCATACACCGTAAAAGACCTCTTGCATACTGATTTGTTGGGTTTTATGCACCAGTATCCTCACTCACTCACACATTCATAACAAAAGATGTTAAAACATAAAACAGTTGTTTCAGGTTCTTGGAAGGTTTGTACTTACGACAGGGGACAGAGGGTTTAGGAATCAGAGGAAGGGAGAGGAATTGCGACACCAAGGTTCTCACCTATTGGAGGCGCCGGTTGGTCTACTGTGCTCCATTTCCAGACCTTGATTCCGTCCGCTAATTGCTTTCACCTTCCGAGGTTCGGCACCAAAATGTTGAAGAAAATAAGGCACGTGAAACAACTGGTCCAAATTAAAAAGATTATTATTATTGAACAATGAAGCAGGATTACAAAACAAAGTGAAAAGAGTTTTAGCACTTTCAAGTAATTCAGCTGGCGTGCACTACAATCAGATAAAAGTGTTTTTAAACTTTTTGAAGATGTCCCAGTAATGTGTTTTAACCAATCCAAGTCTCTGCACGTTCTCCAACTCTGAGTTTCTTTATCTCTGCCTCTCAGGTCTTGGGTGGCTGAATTTGCATTTGAGTTAATTTTTGCACGCAAACAGAATAGATGAACAAAGCAGATGTGGCTTTTAAGCATCACTTTGATATTAAGCACAGGACAAGATATGGACAGTTAATATTTTCTTTAACACACCTTTTTTAGTGTGTGCATTATACTCTTTTATTTTCTTGCAAACTGTTTTGGCCCCAGAAGAGCTACATGCAGCATTTAAAGTACGTTCTGCTCATAGCTCTCTAAATACCGCGGCTGTGTGATTACGCTCAGCTGCAATAAATGTAAAAAGTCCAATTGTCCCTCCCTGCCATATAATGTCCCCCCTGCCAGTGTCTGGGAGACCTGCAGGATCTGAAAAGATCCTGGTTAGGTCTCCCTGCTTGCCCCAGGCTTGTGGATTGGTGCTGGGCTTTTTCAGCTGCCAAACACAGTTCTCTGTCTGAAGGAGCTGTAGCATGAGAGAAAACTATCCCTCTCATGCTACAATGACACAGTACATAGCCTTCTGTACTGTGTGAGCTAGGAAATCCCTCTGCGCTTGGAGGTGGTATTAAGGCCTGGATTAGGAGAAGTTTAAAGGGACACTATAGTCAGGCCCGTCGCTAGCGGGCAGGCAAACCAAGCAATTGCTTGGGGCCCCAAGCAGAGCCGGTGCTTCCTATAAGGCTGCAGCTGCTTGAGCGCTCTATAGAGAGCCTCAGGTGGCTGCAGCACTCCTCTCTCGTCACCTCCCTTTCCCTGTAGCGTGGTCGAGCTCCTCTTCCTCCTAGCTGTCAGTCCGGCCAGGAACAGGAAACTGAATCTCCTGTACCGCGCGGTACCCGGCCGGACTAACAGCCAGGAGGAAGAGGAAGAACATAGGGATGGGATGGGGGAGTAAAAAAACATAGGGAGAGGGAGGGGGGAGTAAAAAAACAAAACATGGGGGGTGGGAGGAGGAGTGAAAAAAAACATTTGGGGGGGAGAGTAAGAAGGACACCGGGAGGGGGAGTGGGGGAGTAAGGACACAGGGAGGGGGAGGGGAGTAAGAAGGACAAGGGGGAGCAGTTTTAGATAATTTGCACATGTTTGTGAGAACTGAAAAATGCTAATGTGAGTGTGTGTTTTAAGTATGTTGGATTTAGTTATTGTGCACTTTTTTAATGTATATTTGATTTTATGGTACAGTGGTGTTTTTTTTGCAAATGTTTTTGCAAATGTTCAAAAAGTGAGGGTGAACTTAAACTGTATTGGGGGGGTGCATCCATGTCCATTTTGCTTGAGGCCCCCAAATTCCTTCAAACGGCCCTGACTATAGTCACCAGCAGGGCAGCCATCAGAAATGTTGTGGCCCCTGATGCAGCCCAAAGTCTTGGCCCCCGGGCCCACCTCTAAGCCAGCCCCCAACGGGACACTGAATTCCCTGGTGGCTCAGCTGGTTGGGCCAGCAAAGAGGGGCCCTGCAGCCTTCATCTTCCCCCTCCGGGCTCTACTTCTGTCGTGAGCCCGGTATGCATTGCGTGCAGCGGAGTGTTGTCGCAAGAGTGCCGGAGTGGAAGGGGAGCCAGCAGGGCCCGCAAAGGTGTGTGTGTGTGTATGTGTGTATGTGTGTATATGTATGTATGTATGTATGTGTATATATATATATATATATGTGTATATATATATATATATATATATATATATATATATATATATATATGTGTATATATATATATATATGTGTGTATGGTTATGTGTATGTATATATATATATGTGTATGTGTATATATAATTAATTTCTATTTATGCCAGGTTAATTGTTTGACCATTTACCCTTAGAGGATGCCAGGGTACTACTGACTCTATAACCAGTACTGCATTGTATATATATCTCTCTCCCCATATTAAAAAAAAAAAAAAAAAAAAAAAAGCCTTGTCCTTAAAGGATTATTTAGGCACCCAGACCACTTCAGCTAATGAGGTGGTCTGGGTACAGGTCCAGCTAGTTACCTATTTTTTTTTTCATAAACATAGCAGTTTCAGAGAAACTGCTATGTTTATGAATGGGTTAAGCCTTCCCCATCTTCCAGCGCTGTCTCTGGCTGACAGCTACCTGAGGGCGCTTTGGCGCGTTTCCTCACCGTGAAATAACAGCGAGTAGCTACGCTAGGCCCATAGGAAAGCATTGATAATGCTTTCCTATGTGACCGGCTGAATGCGCGCGCAGCTCTTGCCGCGCGTGCGCATTCAGCCGACGGGGAGAAGAGGAGGATCGGAGGAGGAGAGCTCTCCACCCAGCGCTGGAAAAAGGTAAGTTTTTTTTTTTTTTTACCCCTTTCCCCCTTCCAGAGCCGAGCGGGAGGGGGACCCTGAGGGTGGGGGCACCCTCAAGGCACTATAGTGCCAGGAAAACGAGTATATTTTCCTGGCACTATAGTGGTTCTTTAAGGGATTAAGGAAGTCGTTTGTAGTGGATGTTGTCTTATTGGTTTAAAATATCTGAAACCATGCATATATACATGTCCAGTTGATGATTTTATTTTTTTTCTCTTTCTAGGTATTGTGTTTGCAAAATATGGACCGATATGGAGGCAACAACGGAGATTCTCTCATACAACCCTTAGACATTTTGGACTTGGCAAACTTAGTCTGGAACCCAAAATTATTGAAGAGTTTAAATATGTGAAGGAAGAGCTGTTGAAATTTGGGAGAGAACCCTTCAGCCCATTTCAGATCATTAATAATGCGGTTTCGAATGTTATCTGTTCCATAAGTTTTGGAAAGCGCTTCAACTATGAAGATGAAGAGTTCAAAACAATGCTGAGGCTGATGTCCCGTGGATTAGAAATCTGTTTAAACAGTGAGGCTGTCATGAGCAATATATGCTCATGGCTGTATTATTTACCCTTTGGACCATTTAAGGAATTGAGGCAGACTGTGATAGACATCACTGCCTTTCTGAAGAAAATCATTGAAGAGCACAAGACTACTTTGGACCCAGGCAACCCCAGAGATTTTATTGACATGTACTTGCTTCATGTAGAGGAGCAAAAAGCACAGAAGGATAGCAGTTTTGACACAGAATATCTTTTCTACATTATTGGTGACCTCTTCATTGCAGGCACTGACACAACTACAAACACACTGCTTTGGTCTTTATTATATATGTGTCTCCATACAGATATTCAAAGTAAGTTTCTTTGATTTTTTTTTGAGAACAGTCAGAGGAACACTTCAAGCACCATAACCAATGAAGCTGGCTATAGTGGTTATGGTGCCATGAGTGTCCTGACACCCTTTCAAGGTAAGTAGTCAAACAATTTGCTAATGGTTTTACAACATACCTGGGTTCTGTTGGTCACATCATTTTCTGAAGCAAGAAGCTCCTTTTAGGAGCTCCCATTATCTTTATTGAGATAATGCTGTGCAGGACCAACTCATTGGCTGAGAGCATCAGCTGAGTGTTCTTAGTCAGTGAGATAAGCCCTTCAACACCAGGCTTAGCTCAATGCAGGAGCTTCTGGGCCGCAAAGGAGAAGGTGATTAGTGGACCCCAGGTTAATTGTTAGACCATTTGCAAAAGAGTTGACCATTTACCCTTAGAGGATGCCAGGGTACTACTGACCCTATAACTAGTACTGCAGCCTATAGTGGTTATAATGCCTTGAGTTTTTTTTTCATGACAATTTTTGTTTAGAACTTGTTTTAGGGATGAAAAAAGCACGTACAATATATGCTTTCCATACTGATAGCAGTGGTACAACAGGAGAGATGTTCCTTCTGACTTTATATAGGTAAGGCAGCATTGACCCTATAAATATATTTGCATATGCCCACCCAGAATTCTTAGCAGTAGTAACATCACTGAAACTTTGAGATTTCTGTGGGAAAAGAAAGTCGTGTGTGTGTTTGCGCACCTGCTGGTACCACCCTTACCTTCTCCTTAAGGGCATAAAACCAGCCCCTCCCCCTTCTGAAAAACATGAATCCCCTGAATAACGAGAGTCAAAGCTTTTTCTAAAACAAAACATTTATGTTGTTCCACAGGCAATATTGCACTCTCTGATGGCTGTAAGAAAAATCCTTGCATTAAGTATTCGTTTCAGCTTAAAGGCACAATCCAGTGCCAGGAAAACAAACAGTTTTCCTCGCACTGCAGGTCCCCTGTCCCTCCCACCCCCCATCCCATGTTGCTGAAGGGGTGCAAACCCCTTCAGTGACTTACCTGAGACCACCGCCAATGTCCCTCGGCAGTGGTTTAGGGTCCGCCCATGGGAGACTGATTGCAAAATGCTTTCCTATGGTGATTTTAGCGATGCTGGAGGTCCTCACGTAGCGTAAAACCTGTGCTATAGTCCAGGAAGTGCCCTCTAGTGGTCTAGTAGACAGCCACTAGAGAAGGAGTTAACCCTGCAATGTAATTATTGCAGTTTATGAAAACTGCAATATTTACAGTTGCAAGGTTAAGGGTAGTGGGAGTCGGCACCCAGACCACTCCAATGGGCAGAAGCGGTCTGGGTGCCTGGAGTGTCCCTTTAAGGAAGCTGCAGAGGCAGCTAACAAATAAAAGCTGAAATATTTTAATTCCTAAACCAGTTCCAACAGACTTTGCACGTAATAAAAATGTTTTTTTATTTACATTATATCCTTAGGCGTGTCAGTCTTGCCGCTGCTGCTAATCCTCCCCTTGCAATACTCATTTCAGCCAATCTAATGCCCCATAGGGAAGCATTGGGGGACTAGTGAGAATGTGCGGCAATCACTACACAAACAGAAGATCAGTCGCTAAAACAGTCCTTTTGGTGTGTAGCAACAACATTCCTGCCAATGGTCTTTCCTCCTGGCTAGAGAAATGTTTCATGCAGTGGCGAGTACGAACATATAGTACAAGAAGATCTCCTATATCCTTAGGTGGGTATTGTTCTGCCCAGGCCCAAGATATCAGCTGGTGTAAAACTCCACCTAATGTAAGTGCCACTCCATCCCTATTCCTGTCCTGAAATAGGGAACTATTCCAAAATGGTGCCTTTTATTTAATTTTTTTACATATATATCCATCTGAAGCACAACCATCCATCTACTGTGAATTATTATCAAATCGCTGAGCTGCGCCAATCAGCATCTCCTCCGAGAGATTTATTGAGTCAATGCATTGAGGGTCTTATAATTCACATAATAATGTACTTCATTTCCAATTCAAAGCGCTTCCTTTCTGACTCTCTCCTTCATCATGACTCTTAACCTAAGCCATGGTGACTTTAACTGGAATGTTAAGAAAAAAGGGGATCTGTATCATTCCACATCTAGACGATTATTGTGGTAAGGATGGCAGATCTTTTAAAAAATATTTTATAAACCGTATCTCTATTTCTCAGGAAACACACCAGAGAATAGTCAAAATAATAGCAGAGGTCAGGAGCACAGAACGAAACACAGTTGCAAGGAATAGCCAAAAGTCAGGGATACCAGAAATTAGGGAATTCACAACAAAGCTATGAAAGGCTAGTAGGCCTCAGCTGAACTGAGCCCGCAAGGCTTATAGATACCCCAAGCTATTTAGCTCAAGGTAAACTAAGCATTTGCTTTGCGCCTCCATATGCCCGCTCGGACGTCCCCGGTTTTCTGTGCGGTTCTTTCTCCTGTCATTGAGGGGCCCAAGAGCTGGCTGTCTGGCCAGCTTATGAAGCCCCCAGGTCCATACTGTCTGTTGTACTGGCTCTGCCCCCCCACAATCCCATTTTTTTTTTTTTTTTTAAATCTCTTTATTCTATTAAAATTGAGTGTTGTGTTGATTACACAGGTTTATGACCATTGTCATAAATGTCATAAATGATGGCAGAACACCTCTTTGTGCTGTTATACTGATGGGGGAATGGCATAGAGTAAGATAAATTACTGCCATCAAAGCAGTTCTCTTGCTTACAGTGATTGTCTCTGTAAGTATCTTTTGGATAAAGGTTAAGAGTTTACAAGAATTACAAGGTGCATTTTGACATTGGCGTTAAAAAATTGACTCTCTTCCAGCTTCTTTGTTGTCATGTGCTTCTTTTTGATCCTTCTAGAAGGTCAGGTAGATATCAATTTGATTACTTTGAATTCATCATGTTTTAATATCACACAGGGCAAAGATTAGAAATGAAAGCCACGTACTTAATATGAATCATAAATGTAGCAATTTATGGGGATCAGGACAAAACTATTTTAACAAAAAGCAAACAAAGTTTAAACTTGCATGTATATATCTCAATAGTGTAGCGTCTCTAAGTGAGTGTAAATTCTGCTGTATCAATGCAGTTTAGAAGGACCATCTCCAGGTGTAGGGGAAGAGCCCCATTTTTTTTTTTGTTAAATGCTCCTAAATGGTTTGATTAAAAGTCTGTTAAACGAAATCTAGACCCTGAGATGTAGTGATTGGATTGCTTCGAGTAAAATTGTAATGACCGGTTCCCTTTTACATTGCTCACATCCTTTCTTTACTACTGCTTTTCTTACCATGGTTTCCCCTCTTTCACATTATTTCCACCAATTCTCCTTTTATTTTTTTTTATTTTTTTAAAACAATTTATTTTTTATTTTTTATTCTGTTCTTTTCTATGCTCTCCTAATTGAATTTCCCATTTTTGTCCCCCCTACTCCTCTTTCACATGCAGTTGCTGCCTTACCACTCTCTTCAGGACTTGATTAATGATTGCCATGCAAATATGGATAGAATTGATATTGCGTTTGCTGGCATAGAAACCCATGGTATGACCCAGAACTAGGAAATTAACATCACCATGGTTGCTTTGTGATAGCAATTATATGGTGCTTAGACTATCCCATAAATGGCTACTTAGTTTTTCTATGTATTATTTAATCTATTATATTCATTCATTCATTCATTTAGGGGTTCAGATTAATACTTCAAGAGCTAGTGAACTTCTAAAATAGAATCTGTCTTAACATTACCAAGTTATGGTATATTTTGATTGCAACTTGGCTGATATTTTTTGATTAGATTCAATATGCATTAAATGTGGCATGCTCTCTAACAGACTCTGTCTGCCCTAAACTGAACCTTTAAATTGAGATCTAATGAAATTGCCTCCTCGGTACATGGCCACATTTTATATTTTAATCTGTTTAGACTATTCTACCAGAATTTTGCAGTGATTTACATGTTCATAGCTAAATGTCGTTCTGAAGTGCATGGTGCTGTTATAGCTTATTTTCATAAAGTAGCAAAATTGTTTTCGTGCCTTGTGCTTTGAACAGAGAAGGTCCAGGATGAAATTGATACCGTCATAGGAAGAGACCGGCCTCCATCACTGACGGACAAAACTCATATGCCCTTCACAGAAGCTACTATAATGGAGGTGCAGAGAATGACTACTGTTGTCCCTCTTTCCGTTCCCCACATGACTTCAGAATCTACAGGTATTTAGTTTATCACTGAAGATTTAGATGCAGCAAAGTGACATTTACATGGTTATTTGCTAAAGTGAATTGTCAGGACTGCAAAATTTCAATCTTAGACCAAAATAGTTCAACTGAAAAGAGAGCTTTCAGTTAAATTCCAAACAAATTTACACTTCAGTAAATAATCTTTTTTAGATATAAATGTTTTACGGTTGATATGTTTACTGACTACTTTAGAATCTATTGCAGTTGATAACATGCATGTTTTTATATGCTATTAATTCAAATTTTTTACTTTATTTTTAGCTCCCACCAGTATACCATCATATATGTTCCCCTTAGCTAATATGTATATAGCCTGATTTAATTTGTTTTTAATAGTTTATTGTTCTTCTTGCAGGGCAAGTTTTGGATTGCTGTATGTTAAGAACAGCTAATCTTCACTTTATAGCTTTTATACGTTGACCCTTTAGCTACATTATTAAGCATAAATTAACTCTGTGTTTTGGTGTTTCATTAAATAATGCATTCGGGGGGGATGTTTGTTGTCTTTAATTTATACAGGTTTTTATTTAGAAAAACTGCAATGTTTACTTTGCAGCACTAAGACAGCCTGTCGTAACTGTCTATCAAACCGCCACTAGAGGCGCTTGCTAGCATCCAGCATCAGTTAAATCCCAACAGGAAAGCATTGCAGCAATGCTTGGCTATTGGGAGGGCCTAATGCGCTTGACATGACTGCATTAGTGCCCCCCTCCCCCCCCCCACCGGATCATGTCAGAGGAGGCAGATCACTGACGCAGCTCCCGAGGGACATTGGCACTAGGAGTGCATAACTAAATAAAGGGTCTTCGAACATTTTGTTGTTGGAGGAGCCACGAGGGAGCTATAGTGCTAGGAATATAGCTTTGTATTCCTATCACTGTAGTAACCCTTTAACAATTTAATATATACAAACTTTAATTGAGATGTTAAAATAACTTGAACAGAATATGCATATATTAAGTATGTTTGATGACTGTTCTATTAATGGTCAAAAAATATATATATTTTTTTTTTTTTTGCTTTGTATTATCATATAAAAGTAAAAAAAAATAAAAAATGCCAAAACTTACAAAGTAGGGGGGGAAAAAATGTTCATCAAATATTCCAAATCATATACTTGGACCATAAATGGATTTCAAGTTATGGCTCTTACAGGTTCTAAATAAACATAGCATTAGGAACGTCATCCTTATTACCACCCTTTTTAGGCAATAATTCATCTATTCCTAATGTTATTTTGATCATGAAACCTTTTCACTAGATTATGGATTTCATAATCACTTGCAGCTAAATAGGACTTTGGTTTGTCACCAGAATAAACATACCTGATCAAGTTTATTTGCCTTTTGATAGAGTTCCAAGGATATCACATTCCAAAGGGAGCTGTGGTGCTTGCCAATCTGTGGGCTCTTCATAGAGATCCAAAGGTGTGGAAAAATCCAAATGATTTTAACCCCAGCAGATTTCTAGATGAAAATGGACAAGTCCTCAAACAAGAAGAATTCATTCCTTTTGGAATTGGTAACAAACAAAAACCTTTCTTTTATGAGTATTTACTTTTAAATTCCATGTTAGGTTTTATTTTTGTTCTTATGATATGAATATGTATAGGGGCGTGTCTCTCATTCTTGTGGCTGCTTTCTGGATGTTAGGAGGTATGAGCTAATAAGAAAGTTGCTGGAAGTGTTTGATTGCTCCCTAGTGGTGTGTCACATGAACTGCTAGCATGCTTCCCTTTCTGGAAAAGGATGTTTGGTTTGGGTCTTTTCACCCTCCCAACAGTAATTTGAGTGGAGTTTTGTGATTTACATATATACAAAGATTAGCAGTATTGGTTAAAATCCATTGAAAGGGTATGCAGTGAGCGGTTGCTAGCCATTGTTAGTAAAAGTAAAAATTAAAAGAGCACAGCAACCAGAATAGGTACATTAAAGTAACTACAGGGAAGTATTGTATATAGCATATGGCGAAAAGAGAACTCTCCCAATATGGAGTTCGAAATACAAAACGAAAAAATATAAAAATAAAATCAAAGCCCACCTTGGTAATCACATGGTTTTTTTTAGTTTTTTTTTTTTGTATTCCTCTTACATGTAAGATAAACGCAATTCCCAAGTGTTGCCCTCTAACATGGTTAAATTCACTCAAAACTGTAATATCTGCATACCTCTTCTGTTAAATAGGTGTTGCATGTTTTATTCCTCACAAATCCGAATAGGAGGGGACCGTAACTGGCATGGAAATATTGCCAATGTTGCCAGTTTATCAATCCAAGCATGTCATCAGATCTTAGATGAATGGGAGGTATAGTACTGTAGTCCAGTCTTCGTGCAAGTTTTCCCAGTTCGTCTATAAAGAAAGAGTATATAGTTCCATCAGTTAAAAAAAAAAAATTAAAAAAAATTATTGCAGCTTAGAAAGGAATTGTAGAAGTAAAGATAGACAGAAAAAAATGCAATGCAAAGCTTTCTAATAAAATTCAGTGGATGGTATAGACCAGTGTTTCCCAATTGGGGTTCCGCCGAAAAATTTGAGGAAAAAATGGCTGCGAGGGAGCAGTGAGCACTGATCTCCCTCGCGCGCACAGCAGTGATGCTGGAGCCGGAATATGACGTTGCTCCGGCATCACTAGGAAGCGCGCGAGGGAGCTGAGCAGAGAGATCAGAGCTCCCTTGCCGTCCGCCTCCACCACTCACCTGTCTGTCCCTCGCTGCCCGCCAAGCTGCAGCCATCCCCACTGGACCACAGGGACTTAATGCCAAAAGCCCCACTGGACCCCAGGGACTCCATGCTTGCACTCCTAAAGGTAGGGGGGCTGGATGGAGTAAAAAAAAAAATGTATGTGTGTCTGTTGGGGAGTTTGTATGTGCTTGTCAGTGAGTATGTGTTTGGCAGTGAGAATCTATCTGTTCTTGTCAATGAGAGTTTTTGTGTGTGTGTTTGTCAGTGAGAGTGTATGTGTGCATGTCAAAGAGTGTGTGTGTGTATCTGTGTCAAGGTTTGTGTATGTCACTGTGTGCATCTTGGTGGGTGTTTGTGTGTGTGTGTGTATATCTGTGTGTCAGATACATACACACTGACAGAGATACACACAGGCGCATACAAACAGATATACAAACCTTGACACACACCGGCACATGCAAACACATACACACACACACACACACACCTTGACACACTGATACATACGCACACAGTGTGTTAAGGTGTGTGTATCTGTGTGCCACTATCTGACAGTGTGTGTATCTGTTTGTCAGATTCATACACACTGGCACATACAAACACAATTACACACACCTTGACACACACACATTTAAAAAAAAATGCAATTGAATTTATTTTTAATTTTTTTTTCGGTGGTGGGTGGGAGTGTTGAAGGGGGGTTCCACAATGTTGATACACAATGTCAAAGGGTTCCACTGGAGAAAATAATTGGGGAAACCCTGGTATAGACAGATTTATAGGTCAGGTTATTGGTAGTCCATATTTGTTTCAATTCACTAGCTTAAAAAACTAAGCATCAGGGCTTTTGGATGTTGCTTAGGAAATCTGTCCTGGGCTGCTACATTAAGAAACACAATGTATTTTTGTTGTAAAAGATAATTGAAGGTTTGTTTGCTACACCGGCATTTCACTGTGTTTCAATAAAAGTATGTGGATGGTGAGAAAATTCTGCATACTCTCAGATACCTGAGGGTTTTTTCACTAAACAATGGATTGTGGTTATTGGAAAAATGAACGGCTAAACTCAGGCAAAACCAGCCAAGCTGTGATCACTTTGGAGAAATCAGCAGGTTTTCCCTAACATTATAATTTACATATATTTGTTATATTTAAAATTGTAGGAATTTTAAGTTTGGCAAGATTTAGAAAATCTAGCTGATTTTGAGTCATTCTGTTATGACAGACCACCCAGGATCGTTACATGGCTCCTAGCCATCACCTTCCCTATTTTTACACACTATTCATCCTCCAGAGTACAGACCATGCCTCCCAGCTCAGTGATCCTATCCAATGGCCTAGAGGACTTCAGAGATTGTTGGGGCAACTCGCAGAGACCTACAGCGCCTGACAGGGAGCCAGTCACAAATCTTCTGGACCTCCAGATCACGGAGTTGCCGCGATCTGGTCAAACTTTATCAAGGTCGCTCTTGGTCCCAAGACCACCAAACAGAGCACTATTTGGAGGGATGATAGAGGAGGTGGTGAGGCATTGAACAACACAAAGAACTTAAGGGAGCTCAATGTACCGACTGAAGGCGTAGTCATCGAAAGTGACCAGGACTTTCCACCCAGTGTTATGGAACCCTGCGTCAGATCGGTGGTCGCTCACAGCCCGGTTAAAATTTATTGTCTGTACTATTTAGGCTAGGCACCTCCAATCTGAGTGCCTTTTGAACTGAACATCTGTCTCGGGGGGACCTATCCGGGAGTGGCACTAGTTTGGAGATGTGGGCACAGTGACCTATGGTTTTTGAGTGAATTGTTGTTTGTGCCTTGGTGTCTGGCCATTAATAAAGTTAACTTGTCAGGTACAGATACCAAGACAACAGGTATTGCGAAATATCATGGTTCTCTTGGTGACCACCTGTTGGAGACCCAGGTATAAAAAATGCAACATTCACACAATAAAACACTTGTATCACCCTTACATTAAGCTTCTAATATCTAGGGATGGAATATATTCACAAGGGAGCTAATCAGTAAGGGGGAAAGGTAGTCCTTGGCAGCAACACTCACCTAGGAGTAGTCCGCCACATGAGTCATGGTCACAGCTTGGCTATTTTAGCCTAAATTTTGCCATTTTAATAAAATTCCTCTGTTAATGAATAAACCCCATTGTGTATTTTTGTATTCCATTGTACTGATGATGATGTTTGTTTGTGCCCCAAAAATAAAAAGATTTTTGTTTTAATTCTTGCAAAAGTTCACAGCTCTGTCTTTCTTGTTATTTATTTAATCAGGTCGGCGTGTTTGTATGGGGGAACAGCTGGCGAAGATGGAATTGTTCCTAATGTTCGTCAACCTTCTCCAAATGTTTATTTTTAACTTTGCTGATGATACATTTGCACCAGCGCTGGAAGGACGGTTTGGACTGACACTCGCTCCCTATCCGTTTGACATTAAAATTGCCAAGAGATAATACTGTAATATATCATTAACTGATTGCAAAATAATTATTGATGCCTTAAAATAGTGCTTGGGACAAGGGCCCTGGGGGGGAATGGGGAGGGGGGGGGGTGGAGTTCACACATAATACTGAAACAGAGTAGGCCTGCCCAGAGAAGTGGTGTGTTAGCATTGTGTTATTGCATGCTAGGCTGCCCATGCACACTGCAGACCGTGCATAGAGAACTGTTGTACAACTAACTGCTCTTGCATTGTGCTGGCTAGTGGCCGTTCCCTGTTGTCCCCCAATATTCAGCACTAGGAAATCAACCAAGAGGGGCATGATAAGACCATGAGATAGGGGACCATTGGGTGTCTTCTGGTTTGCATTTTAACCTGACTTCTGCATTGTGTTTAGCATAGTTAATATGCTACTAGCAGTGGATGCTTTGTAAATGTTAACAGGGATGGACTATAGATGGAGGAATACTGCACACTTAATGAAATCCTGGTGCAACCAGACCTGGGGTTGGCTACCCCTCCTTTATTGGTTAGAAAAATTGTGGTCCAGGCACTCAAGGATCAAAAAACATAATTGCATTAAATTGCAAAACTTTGGCCAAAATAGCTGATATGGAAGCATTCTCCAACTCTCTGTAAACAGTGCAGGGGCAAGGCCAAACACTGGCTTGGCAAATCAGCATCTCTTCATAGAGAGATGCATTGAATCAATGAATAGCTGAAATGGAAGCATTCTCCAACTCTCTGTAAACAACGTGTGGGTCTTTTAGCATATATATATATATATATATATATAATCTCTATCTCTCAAGTAAATGATTGCAGGTAAATTCCATGGTGTGTTTGTAAGGCAAGTCGGGATCCTCTTCAGCTCCAGGCGCTTCATTTGCCAGGAGCCCATGTCAGTGTAATCTCGCACACGTGTTAGAGTATAACATTGATATGTATGGTCAGGGTGACCAGATCAACCATGTTTTCTGGGACATATTGATGGGCAGCACATGAAAAGGGTAGCCTTGTAGTATGTAGAATTCAGAAGAAGGTGTATTAGATTAAGCAATTAGCTAGTAGGCAATAATGCAGAATATGCATTGTACGTATTGCAGGGCAACCATTTTCATGAGTTTTCATAAATATGAGAAACTTATTTGTCCCTGTAAACATGGTGGATCTGGTCACCGTGTGAATGGAGGATCCTGCAAGGCCACGGGAGCCTCTATAGACAATCGCTTTTCCTCACAACCGTCACTAATGACGGCTGGAGGAAATGACAAAATGTGACGGCGATAGCAAAGCCTTTTGTCGTGTTGTCAGTTGTACGAAAAATTTCCCTACTTTGTCTCAGTATATCTTTTAAATGTGTTGCAATTTCTATGAAATTCTAGCATAGTCAATGTGAGTACTTCTTCATAAAGATTTTCTTTTGTGGAAGGGGGGCACTGCTTTAAAGGTGAACTGTCATCTCAGCACTTTTCCCATAGGAAAAGCATTGGATTGGCTAAGATCGGTGCGGGGGCAGGGCCAAATACTGTCTTGGTAAATCAGCATCTCTTCATAGAGATGCATTGAATCAATTAATCTGTATGGGGAAAGTTCAGCATCTCCATGCAGAGCATGCAGGAAGCACCTCCAGTAGCTATCGGAGTAGTGGCCACTGGACTTGTGCCTAGGGAGCAATGTAAACACTGCATTTTCTCTGAAAAGGCAGCATTTACAGCAAAAAGGCTGCTTGGACTGACAACTCACCAGAACAACTACATTAAGCTGTAGTTGTTCTGGTGACTAGAGTGTCCCTTTTAAGTATGTCAATTCTTCCTAATTTTGTCTGGTTTTTTTTTCCCCCTCGTTCCCAGCTCTATTTCTTCCTCTATTCATCACTTAACCCCCTTTACGCTCCTCCTATCTCATCTCCCAATTTTGTCCCTCCTTCCACTGCCACTTTTATTTTATTTTTCATCCATCCCCTTTCACGCTTTCGTTTTTGAGTTTAACCTGTGCTGTTCATGGCTAGCCAGATGGGCTGCTGCTGCCTCTTCTTCTTCTGCCATCATGGCAGACCGTTCTCATAGTCTAGATCCTGCTTAGTTCTGCTTTTTTGTCTGGAGAGGGCTTGGATACAATGTCTGATATTATCCCTGTCTTTCAGGACACAGAGCTTCATGTTTCCTGACAGGTCGAGAAAGCAGAGCCCTTTATTCCACAGGTTCCTAAAATTATTATTGCTGCTAAATACTATTGCTACTACTATACTACAAACTATCGTGAACATTTTTGGGGATGATATGTTGATCTCACTTCAAAACGGCCTGTGGCTGTATAGCTGCAGCCAGAAGCCGGAGAGACCCATCCCTCTGTGCATGTCCAAAATGCCCAAGTCGTCAGTCTGTCCCTGAATGTTAATGAAATAAGATACATGTTATGCTTCCCTGTATTATTTAACAAACTGGCAATGTTTTAACTAGTAGACATTCATTTATTTTATGCATAGGAAACTTGATATAATTGTCATCCAAGCATTATTGTAGCATTTTTCTTTAAAGGACCACTATAGTGCCCGGAAAACAAAACATATTCGTTTTCCTGGCACTATAGTGCCCTGAGGGTGCCCCCACCCTCAGGGTCGCCCTCCTGCCGGGCTCTAGGGGGTGGAAGGGGTTAAACTTACCTCTTTCTCCAGCGCCGGGCGGGGGACTTTCCGCCTCCTCTCCTGCTCCTCGGCTGAATGCGCATGCGCGACAAGAGCCGCGCGCGCATTCAGCCAGTCTCATAGGAAAGCATTCACAATGCTTTCCTATGGACGCTGGCATTTTCTCACTGTGATTTTCACAGTGAGAAGCGCCTGTAGCGGCTGTCAATGAGACAGCCACTAGAGACTGGATTAACCCTAATATAAACATAGCAGTTTCTCTGAAACTGCTATGTTTATAGAAAAAAGGGTTAAACCTAGCAGGACCAGGAACCCAGGCACCTTAAGCTGAAGTGGTCTGGGTGCCTATAGTGGTCCTTTTAAAGGTGCACCACTTTGCTATGGCAGTGTAAAGCCCTTTACCTTTTTAGTGTTGTGACGGTTTTCAGCGTTTAGTTTCATAAATTGTTTTTATTATCATGACTATGCATTGAAGTTTAAATTACTTAACCCCTTATTGACGAGTGACGGACGAGGTCCGTCACTCAGGGGAAAGCATTAATGATGAGTGACAGACCTTGTCCGTCACGCGTTAAAATTAACCCCCGATCGCCGCGGTGGCAACGATCGCGGGGTTAACGCTGTTGCTGGGTGCCTCCGAGTCAGGGGCAGAGCAGCAACAGCAAATCCCGATATCCCAGCCCATGTGATCGCTGTAAAAACCAGTCACAGCGGTCACAATGCTGCTGGGATATCTGATCTGCCTCCCTCCACCTCGTGTGGGTTTGTGAAGTGGAGAGAGACGGATCGTTGCAACATTGTGTCCCAGAAGAATAGTAAATATCTATAAAAGGTTCCTAATCCCTTTCCCCTTTATTAAAAAAAAAAAAAAAAAAAAATTTTACAAAAAATTAACCCTTTCCCTGCTGCAATATACAGGTCACAGTACTTTACTGTGATCTATTTATTTTTTTTTACTTTCAAGGGTTAACTTTTGTTTTTTGTAACCCTAAGGGGTTAAATTTTATTATTTGATTTTATTAGTTTATGATTTAGTTACTTGGGTGGGTGGAATTTAGTGGGAATTAGGGAATAAAAAAAAGTTTAGTTATTTAGTTAAAGTTTTGTTAGCTGTGTTAACTGTATTTAACAATGTTCAGGAAGTATAGTGCAGAGGAGGCTTATGCCCTGTTAGCGGCCGACTCAGAGACGACAGACCCTGCCTCAGAGAGTGACGCAGGGGACAGGGACTATGTGCCAGATACTGCAGGACCATCAGGGGAAATCGACGATTCCCCTAATGCTGAACATGGCGCAGATGACTGGATACCCCCTAATAATTTTTCCCCAGACATCCCAGTGTTTACAGCCAATCCTGGCATACAGGCTGACCTGTTTGGCTATAGTGCGCTGGATGTTATGCAGCTGTTCTTGGGGAATTTTGGGGAGATAGTCACCCAGACTAATCTCTATGCGGAGCAGTATTTGGCACGCAATCTAGACTCTCTTATCTCCAGGAAAGAGAGATGGAACCCAACCAGTGTGCCAGAATGTAAACAATTCTGGGCACTGACCATGTTAATGGGGCTAATTAAAAAGCCCACAATTAGGATGTATTAGTCTAAACATCCTATTTGCAATACCCCCATTTTTGCCGAGACAATGACAAGGGAAAGATATGAAGACACACTGCGATTTATGCGCTTTAGTGACAATAACAAGTGCCCCCCAAAAGGTGATCCGCAGTATGATCTTCTTTATAAAATACGCCCTTTAATTGCCCACTTAAACAGTAAATTTGCCACTATATATACCCCCAACAAAAACATTTCCATTGACGAGTCCCTCATGAAGTTTAAGGGAAGACCTGAGGTTTAGACAATATATCCCATCCAAAAGATCCAGATATGGGATCAAATTGTATAAACTGTGTGAAAATGGCAGTGGCTACGTATACACCTTCCGTGTATACGAAGGAAGGGATAGCCACCTTGATCCCTCAGGTTGCCCAGATATAATAGGGACAAGTGGGAAAATTGTCTGGGACTTAATAATGCCACTACTTAATAAAGGATATCAATTATACATCGATAACTTTTATAATGGCATCCCACTGTTAAAAATGTTGTACTGCTTCAAGACTGTGGCCTGTGGCACTATTCGGAAGAGTCGCACAGGTTTCCCAAAGGCTCTAGCGAACAAAAAAATGAAAAGGGGGGGAAACAGCAGCTCTCTGCCAGAATGAACTGCTGGCACTCAAGTACAGGGATAAAAAGGATGTTTTCATCTTAACCACCATCCATGGTGAAAACACTCGGAGGGTCACAGTTCGTGGCAGAGTGGAATGTAAACGAATGCCAGTCTGCATACGGCAATATAATCGGCATATGGGGGCATTGACCAGTCCGATCAACTGATGCAGCCGTATTTGATCATGCAAAAGACCAGGGCATGGTATAAAAAAGTGGGAATATATCTGATGCAGATGGCAATCCACAATGCCTTTTGTCATTTTTAAAAAGGCAAATGCTGGGCTGAAAAGCACTTTTCTTTCATTCCAGTTTGAGCTCATTTCTGGGCTACTTGAGTGCCACACAAGGAGACCATCAATGGAGCCTAGCAGAAGAATGGAGGCAGGTCACTTCTGCTTTAAGATTCCACCAACCCCGAAAAAACAAAACCCCACAGAAAAGGTGCAGGGTGTGTTACAAGAGGGGTGTAATAACTGAGACCAGCTATTCCTGCCCTGATTGCCCCTCTCAGCCGGCCACTGTTTTAAAATTTTTCACACCCAGGCCGAATAAGTAGATCTGTCTGATTGGTTAACGAATCTTGGCTTTGTCTCCCGCTTATCCTGTCTTCTCTGATCCTTGACCTCAGCTTGTCCTATCATTGTTCCGTTTCTCTTTACTCCTTTTGACCTCGGCTTGTACCTTGACAATTCTCTGCTTGTATAGCCCGTCCATTCTAAGGACCGGTATTACAAGTTTCTCTCTCTGTGTTCTCTCTTTGTGGTCTGTCTGTGTTTTGGTTTCGGAATCCATGACAGCTTTGCCTGGGACGCAGATGACTGGGTACTACCTCCGGATAAGTTTACCCCAACTATTCCCCCTTTTCACAGCAAAGAGTATGCACTTGTTCATAATTTGAATTGATGAGCTGCTTATACTTAAAAATAAATGTGGCCTTTGAGAGGTAATTTGCAGTCCTGAGCTGCTAAAATGAGACTTGGGCCCAGCATCCACTTTTTAAAAATATGGAAGTGGTGTGTCTCCAATGTGCCCCTTCAACATCCACATAACCCTGAGAAAGGTACACATGGGGGTATTGTTGCACTAAGATGACATAGCTGAGCAACATATTAAGTGTTATACTGCCGTAGCACACATAAGGATAGCAAAATATACAGTAACATCTCAAAGTGTGTGTCAAAAAGGCAGAAAAAATGCTAATTGCAACTAGACTTGGTACAAACTAACAAAAATATGATCCTACACTAAGGTTTAGAATATACCTTTTTAAATACCCTGGGGTGTATACTTTAAGAAATGGTAGGCCTTTGGGGTAGTTTGAATTTAAAACCTAAGATGCTTGTTAATTGCACATAGGCCCAGCGTCAAAATTCAAAGTTCGGTAAAAACTGATATGGCTTGGTCTCCAATTTGGCACTGTAACTTCACAAAATAGTGCCAAAGACATACCCCCATTGTATCATTTTACTCAGAAGACTTAGCTGAACATAATTTGGGGGGTTTGAACTTAGTGGCACATGTGAAATATACAAAATGCCCAGCAAAAATGCAATCCATAAGTAAAAAACGCACAAAATAATTTTTTAGCCCATACTCTGGCATCTATTGGTGAAAAAATGGGGGCATGTTAAGGCACAATTTGCACCTTATGATATACCCTGGAGTGTCTACTCTTACAAATGGTAGGCCTTTGTGGGGTTTTTTTTTTGAACAGTCAAACTGATATAATACCCCAAATGGAAGCATAGGCTCATTAAATTCGTCTCTCAAAATTCTACTGAAAAGGACAGGTCTCCTATATGGCAAAATTCAAAGTTCGGTAAAAACTGATATGGCTTGGTCTCCTATATGGCACTGTAGCTTTACGAAATAGTGCCACAGACATACAATGAGGGTGTCATTTTACTCAGCAGATGTAACTGAACACAAACTAAAACTTTGTACAGGAATAGCACACACCAACTTTACAAAATACACACAAGAAGTTCTTTGTTATAAGTTTGTGTGCCAAAAACACCATTTTACTCCAATATTTAGAAGAGGTTTGCGGTGAAATGGCTATGTAGAAAGTGTCAAAACAACCTTAGGTAAATAGCCTGTGATGTCTACTTTATATAAATATATACTTTTGTGTGGCAATTTTGTTTTCTTTTATGGCTATTAAGCTTACAAGACAAACATACCAAATTCTAAAATCGCTCCACATTAAAAGTTTATTTTACTCCTTGTGCTTTGTGACCTGTAACTACCAAAAAAAACTTAAAATCCCAGACACATTATATATTCTGTAAATCAGAACAACTAAATGAATTTATTTTTAATTACTTTCCTTAACCTGTACTAATTATGCACACATTATTATTGCAAAAACTGTAAAAAAAAACAAAAAATGTTACCATTTTTTTTCATATTTCTGTATTTTTTTATATAATAAATTAAGTATATATATATATATATATATTACATCAAATTAAAGCCCCTTATGTCCTTTAAAAGAATGTTATACAATATGTGTCGGTGCAGTAAATTAGTAAAATGCAAATTGCAGTTGAACACAAACAGCAAAAAATGCTATTGTCATTAAGTAAAAGACAAGCATCTGAAGCTCTGTCCTTAAGGGGTTAAACCAAGCTTAAAGGACCACTCTAGGCACCCAGACCACTTCAGCTTAATGAAGTTGTCTGGGTGCCAGGTCCAGCTAGGGTTAACCCATTCTTTTATAAACATAGCTGTTTCAGAGAAACTGCTATGTTTATAAATGGGTTAAGCCTTCCCCCAAAGCCTCTAGCGGCTGTCTCATTGACAGCCGCTAGAGGCGCTTGCGTGCTTCTCACAGTGAGAGCACGCCAGCGTCAATGCTTTCCTATGCGACCGGCTGAATGCGCGCGCAGCTCCTGCCGCGTGTGCGCATTCAGCCGACGGGGAGGAACGGAGGAGGAGAGCTCCCCGCCCAGCGCTGGAAAAAGGTACGTTTTACCCCTTTTCCCCTTTCCATAGCCGGGCGGGAGGGGGTCCCTGAGGATGGGGGCACCCTCAGGGCCCTATAGTGCCAGGAAAACAAGTATGTTTTCCTGGCACTATAGTGGTCCTTTAAATTTAATGAACTAAAAAAAACAAAAAACTTGATTTAAAGGGATACACTAGGCACCAAAACATCTTGTTATATATGTATAGTTTTTGCAAAATATATATATATTTTGCAGAAATCTGCACAATAATGTCTAACTGCTTAGCCATGCACCTTTTATTCTACAAGTTATCATGGAGTGGAGGGGGTAGAAGGCAGAGAGTTATTTACCAAGAGCATTGCCATTGCAATGGTAGCACAGTGTGGGATAACTTCTACATTCACTTGCCTCTTAATACCTTGGAGCAGAGATACAATATGCATGAAGAGAGGACACAACTTGTGGGTGCTTGGAAAGTTCAGGGAACAATCATGATGTCATAGTATTTGACTAATGATTCTTTTTACTAATTTGATTTCAGTCCGCTTCCAAAATTATTTAACCATAAGTGACAGGCACATGCTAGCAGTTAGCCAGGTGTTGCTCTACAGAAAAGGGAGAGAAAAAAAAAAATTTAGAAAAATAAAAATGAATTTTGTGATCCTGACAGGCTACAAAGCCACAGAAGAAGATTAAGGGATTAAGTGCATATCTTGAATATAAATATATAATTAGGAATTGTAGCCATATGTGTGTGTGTGTGTATATATGTGTGTGTGTGTGTGTGTGTGTATATATATATATATATATATATATATATATATATATATATATATATATATATATATATATATATATATATATACACACACACTTGCATGTGAAGAACCTACAGAACCAGGATTCATATAGTTGAGGTTTTTTTTTTGTACTACATGTTAGAAGGGATTTAAATTGCAAATACTGCTGCAAAACCAACATAATATAGTTTTGTTCTACATGACAAAAAATGCAATACAGCTTCCATCATCTCAATATGAAATTTTTTTTTTATGTTTTATGTCAGCCCTATTCAATATAATAATTTGCAAGGATAGTTTAATAAACAATGTTTGTTTGTTTGTTTGTTTTTGTATATTTTATTTGCATGTTTCATTCCTAATAATGGTGTGGGGCAGAGAGGAAATGCTAGTGTGCAATGCAAATTACTGACCAAAGTACTGCTGCTTTTATACCATTAAATTGCCGTAAAGTGCTTAATTATTCTAAAACGGTGATGTACACAAAACTACTAACAACTTGACTGTCTATGTTATGTATGTTGTTTATATTTAATATATTGTGATAAGGAAGAACAAGATTAAAGTGACCAAAAAAGTCTTCCAGAAATATTGTCTGCGTGATTTTATTCTAGATCAGTGACTACCATTTCACTTTCAAATGAAAAATTATTTTAAACAGATTTTAAAATCTACAATTCAGCAAAGTATTTTGCTTGGCAATGTCACCGTAAGAGTAAGGAGCTTAACTGTAGGTAATGGCATGACACGATCCATTGTGTAAGGCAACCTACTGCCACATAGAAAGTTAGATCCTGCAAGTAATAGGTGGTGCATTAACCAAACATCAGGTATTTAATTAGGTCTTTAATTATAAACTTCCTTATTTAAAGCAGCACTCTTGGTTGGAAATTACTCGTTATTTTTAAAACCTTATACAAAGCAGTGATTTCCAACCCAGTCCTCACACAAATAGTGATCTAATGGAGATACTAAGAAAACGTGGACTATTGGTGAGCCTTAAGAACTGTGTTGAGAACCACTGGTGTTGACTATGTGTTAACCCCTTAAGGACCAATGATTGAATTATTCTGTCATGGTTACCACAAGGGAAACCAATGTACCATTAGATTATGAGTATGGTTAGGTTTAGGATCAGTCTTTGGTTTAAGATGAGGATTAGGATTGTTGCTTTTCAAAAATATACATATGGAGTATTGTTGTACTCATGAGATGTTGTGTTGTACAGTTTAGGACATTTTATTACAGTGTCCTACATGAGATTTTATAAAAAGCCAGAAAAATACAAAGTGTATGAAAATATTATAAATGAACCACAAACGTGAAAAAAATAGTACCTTATTAAAGCTCAAAGTATATAATATGAGAGTCCCCATGGTGTCCCCATTTGCAAATGGTATGCATTTATGGATTAATTTGGTATGAGCTAAAAAAAAAAAAAATCCTCAAAATGCACCATTTTCAATTTGCCATTAAATTTTTTTTTATTTTTTTTTTATTTAGCCCTGCCCAGTAATTTTACAGGGTATGTGAAGGGGATTATTCTGTACTCATGACATATAGAGCACACTTTAGTAATTATTATTACAGTAGACCCAATTTTACAAAATAAACTGCTAAATTGTAATGTGCAAATAAACACACAAAATATAAAGTTTGAAAGAAATTGGTGAAAAATTTCTGTGTGAAAAGGGCTCAAAATATAGCATATGACATGTTCATGGTGTCTAATTTCACAAATGGTATGCATTTACCAGGTCATTTCAACAGTCAAACTGATAGACTGCCCCAAAATGAAACATAGGCCCATCAAATCTAGCTATCAAAATTGTAAAAATGCCAAAAATTGCTTTGGTCCTTAAAGGGAGATGCATTACTTGACAATTAAAAAAAAAAATGTATACCAGCAAACAAACACTTTTACAGATGTATACAAACTAATATAATGCAAGAAATTGTTGAAAAGTGTATAATAAATGTTTATAAACTTAATCGGTTTGCAGTCTCTGGCATGTCTCTCATCTAGAGGACTGTCTTTAGCTTCTCACCCCCCACCTCACCTCTTACCTTTTCATTTCCCTGCCTATATCCCATCCAGATGAAAGTCAAATGCACTATGGGGAAAAAAAGGCAGACTGGTGGAGGGGAAGCAGCATGCGACTGGCACTGGAAGAGAGTATCTGTGAGCATGTGTAGATGTGTCTGGGAGGGTGCGTGGTGAAGTTGCTTGCGATGTGTTGTGTGTGTAAGTGTCACGTATTCATCCGCACATAAAAATGTGGTTAATGGAATTTACTGTCCTGACAGGAAAAGTTGTGCTGAGCAACATTGCCATCCTGACAGGAAAAGTTGTGCCAAGCAGCAATCATGCACATGGAAACCTGGTAACTACTTTTGGGGTCAAAGGCCGGTCATGGCCAATTACATCCACAAGAGGGTTTGTGCTGAGCAGCAATCTTGCACACCTGGTAATTGCCTTTGGAGTCAAAAGCCGGTTACAGCCAATAGGATCCACAGGAGGGGTATTTAACCCAATTCTCCTCTTGCTCATTGCCCTGTCGTGGTTTCATGCGTATGGTTATCCGAGAGTGCGTTCCCAATCTTGATTTTCTGGTTTTTGACTTTGGCTTTGTTTTGACTTCCCTGATATCTGGTATCCTTGACTTTTTTGCCTTTCCCTCATCTTTGTGTATGATTCTGTGTCCCTGACATCAGCAAGTATTTTGGTTATTTTTGGAGACGTTAAGTCCAGCCATACGTTATCCTTAGTCCTAGGTGTGACACCGTACTGCGTGCTGGATTAACTTGTAATCCTGACATTACGACATGGCCATAGATCCTGCAGAATTGTGTCAGCACATAGCTTCTTGCGAGAGAAAGCTAGAGGAGGATGTTCACCGTATGGATCAATTTGCCCAGGCTTTTAGCACGCTCCTTACTGGGACGGCTCATTTACAACCTGAGGCTTCTCCATTTATGTCACCACTGCCTAATGTACCTCCACCTAGAGAATATAAGGCAACTACAATCTCCTTATCTCCTCCACCGCATTTTTCTGGTAATATCCAGGAATGTTGGGGATTTCTCAGTCAGATTGAGTACCACCTTGAGGCCTCACCTGGTTCATATCCTTCAGATAGAGCTAAGATTGGGTATCTGATGAACCAACTTAAAGGTAAGGCCTTAACCTGGGCTAATCCATTGTGGGAAAGTAATAGGAGTATTGCCCATTGTTACCAGGAATTCAAACTGACGTTTGAACCATTAGGCAGAGAGTAAGACGCCTCCACTGCCCTAATGCATATCAAACAAGGGAACCGTCTATCTCGGATTATGCCATAGAATTACGTACCTTGGCATCTGAGGTAGACTGGACTAACAACGGATTAAGTGCTGCTTTTAAAAAAGGATTATCCGAAGTTATACTTGATTAAATTGCTGCCAAATACCTACCTAAGGGGTTAAATGACTTTGCAGATCGATTACAGACTCAGGACCAGGGAAATTACTAGAAACAGAACTAGACGTTTGACTATGTCACTAGCTCCTCGATTCTCCAAACCTGTTGTTCCTGACCTCTAGACACTGTCTGAACCTGAACCTATGCATTAAGGGGTTACAGGACTGTTTGAGGCAGAGAAACAGTATAGGAGAAGAGAGGGTCTGTGTTTATATTGTGGCAAGAAAGGGCATATGAGAGATGCTTGTCCTACACGTCCGGAAAACCTCCGCACCTAAGAACCTTAAGGGGACAGGTTTTAGGTGTAATGGATACGTCCTCTAGCAATACCCGAAGCAGATTTCTCCTTGATATTTCTGCCTTTTGCAACGAGGAGAACTTTTCATGCAAAGCCCTGGTTGACTCAGGTGCGCCTGGTAACTTTATTGATTTGTATTTTGTTAAAAAACATACTATACCATTCAAGGAGAGATCATCACCTCTAGCGGTTGAGGCTATTGATGGGAGACCCCTATTTCAACCTCTTATTACCCATGAGACCTTGCCTATTTACATTACAATAGGAGCTTTGCATAAGACATTACTTTCCAGATAATCGCTTCCCCTTCTTGTCCCATCGCATTAGGGTTCCCTTGGTTCACCAAGCATAACCCTCATATTGACTGGACTAGAGGGGAAATACTGGAATGGGGTAGAGACTTTCAGGAAAGCTGCATGTTACCCATTTATAAAAAAGTGGGCATTGTTGCTTTACCAACTGCTACGTCTCCGACTACCGAAATTCCCATGCAGTATTGGGATGTTAGAGAGGCGTTTAGTAAACACCAGACTAATGCTCTTCCTCCACACAGATCTTATGATTGTTCCATTGATCTGTTGCCCGGGGCTACGCCTCTTAAAGGAGCGATATATGCCCTATCTCCACAAGAAAGTAAAATCATGGATGAGTACATCAAGGAATCTTTAAGTAAAGGCCATATACGTAAATCATCCTCACCTGCTGGTGCAGGGTTCTTTTTTGTAGCTAAGAAAGATGGAGAATTGCGACCTTGCATAGACTACAGGGCATTAAACAAGATTACTATCAAAAATGCCTATCCTATTCCCCTTATATCAGAATTGTTTGATAGACTCCAGGGTGCTAAGATCTTCACTAAGCTTGACCTTAGGAGTGCGTACAATTTGGTGAGAATTAGGGAGGATCATGAATGGAAGATGACGTTTAACACTAGGAGTGGGCACTACGAATATCTTGTTATGCCCTTTG